TTCTAAACTGAGGAGGGAAAGAAGGAAAAGTCCGACAATGCGTCGCGTGCTCGCGAATAAGTTTTCATCTATCAGTGGGGTAGGTGGGGCCTCGAGGAGGCTTCTGATAGGCCCGGGGGTTCTGGGCGGCTCTGGCTGCTTGAGGGCCAGTTTGGTGGACGGGTCCTCACAGGCGCTATAGACGAAGACTCTACACTAAAGGGAAAAGGGAAAAGAAGTGTGAGGACCCGTCCCACCAAACTGGCCCTCAAGCAGCCAGAGCCGCCCAGAACCCCCGGGCCTATCAGAAGCCTCCTCGAGGCCCCACCTACCCCACTGATAGACGAAAACTTATTCGCGAGCACGCGACGCGTTGTCGGACTTTTCCTTCTTTCCCTCCTCAGTTTAGAATCTTCGTCGATAGCACCCAATGGACTGAGTTAACCTCAATGCCTTGCCCTGGTCGTGACAAGAAGCTCAAAAGCCTCCCCTCGCGAGATTCTTCCAGGGCGTCTCAAGGTGGGGCTCTGGCCGAGCTTCCATTAGTCAGTTGGGTGGATCCCTCTGGCTGGTCGGGTGGATCCACCCAGCTGGCGTCTGATTAGTCAGAGCGTCTGGGAGGCCTAGAGGACCAGGCCCTCACATATACTTTGAGTGGCATTTCAATTTGACTGTATTACCCGTGCGATAGGAGCTTGCTCTTTGTTTTATCTTCATAATTACCAAACCCCAGTATCTTGTAGAGCCCGTGCTCCCTTACAGACAGAAGACCCAAACAGTTGAGTGGTTTGTAATACTAGGTTTTCCTCTTTCCTCAGTCAACTGATTCCCCCTCCCTCTCCCCCGTCTCGCTGCCCGAGCCGCTTACATGCTCAGGTATGTTCTGTGGGAGAGGAAATCCGTCCTGCAAACCCATTATCTCGCAGACAGATACAGCCCCCATCCAATTGGGCTCGGGGGCTCATCGAGGCGAGAACATGAGGTTTTAGCGAGACTGAAAGTGGCAACGGCGCTAGCAATATCTATTTATTTAGTTGTATTTATATGTATCCACTTTGACGTTAGTTGGAAGGAAATTACAATACTATTGCACGGCTCATTCATCGGCTATAGTGTCAGGGAATCATTGCTGTATCTTCTTCAGTAGCCCGGTTCGACTCCTCGCGCCGGAATTGGAGACTTATTACAAACCACTCGACTGTTAGGGTCGTCTGTCTGTAAGGGAGCACGGGCTCCACAGAATGCTGGGGTTGGTAATTATAAAGATAGAACAAAGGGCAAGCTCCTATCGCACGGGTAATACAGTCAAATCGGAATGCCACTCAAAGTGTATGAGTGCAGTGAATGTGTATTGCTTGCTTGAAGAACCAGGCAAGAGCTATCTAGGACCGGTGCCACGGTCGTCGTATATATCCATCCAAGGCGGACCAATCAGAGCGTTGTGTTACGATCCTGGTTCAGGCGCGCAGGAGGCTGCACGGAGCCTCCCACTATTGGCTGACGCAAGGAAGTGGGGTAGTTCCCCACTCCGCTCAAGTGCAGCCAATAACGGGGCGGTCAGTACGATCAGCATGGTCAGGGCGATCAGTGGGGGAACTGATCGCGCTGAGCACACTGACCGCACTGAGCTCACTGATCACCTAGGACCAACTCTCTGATTGGTCCGCCTTAGATAGATATATACGACGACCGTAGCCACGGTCTCAGATAGTTCTTGCTTGGTTCTTCAAGCAAGCAATACACATTCACTGCACTCATACACTTTGAGTGGCATTCCGATTTGACTGTATTACCCGCGCGATAGGAGCTTGCCCTTTGTTCTATCTTCATAATTACCAACCCCAGCATTCTGTGGAGCCTGTGCTCCCTTACAGACAGACGACCCTAACAGTCGAGTGGTTTGTAATACTGTAAGAGAAGGCAGGTACGCCTGATCAAGGTGGTCACAATAGGAGCAACAAGCAGGGCGAGCAATGACTGGTATTGGCGTAAGACTTCAACCTGGCCTAAGCTAAAGAGGTGTGCGAAGGCCATGGTCTATATACACGTGAAAGGGGTTACGAGTCATCCTTGCGTAGCCAGGGTGGTAGTGGCGATAGTGCGTGGCCCTGTTAGCGGTGGCGATAGTGGCGACGGTGGCGAGGGTGGCCCTGGTGGCGGTGGCCATGGTGGTTACGAGGGTGGTTTCCTTACAAATACGTTGGTCCTAGGTGATCAGTGCGCTCAGTGTCCCGGACCGCGCTCAGTCGAGACTGAGCGCACTGAGCGCCCCGAAGTGCCCTGAGCACCCCGATTGTCCCTTATTGGTTGCATTCGGTTCCAGCGGGGAACCACCCCGCAGCCCTGCGTTGGCCAATGGCGGACTGCCCCGTGCAGCCTCCTGCACGCCAAGGCCGGGATCGTAACAAGACTATATAAGACAATAGGCTTGTGGTATTATACTGTTGGTTCTGGGCCTCAGTTGCCATGCTCACTACTGACCTGAGTTAGTTGCGTACGCCTTCGTAGTTGCGGCCGGGTTGTACAGGCAGAGGGTACACTCAGGGATTTCTCGGCAGGCGTTGATGACTTGCATACGAAATAGCTCTTCTGACTGGTGTGTAGCTGGCAGCGTCTGTCGAACCCTGTTGAGCCTTTCAAATAAAAAAAGCTCGAGGCATTCGATCCTTGGCTTTCCTGGGCTTTCGTCGACGGCCCTGCCTAAGGTAGTGCTACCCTACTCTCGTAGGCGTAGTTGAGTAACTGGGCCTTGGTACGGGCAATCAGCGTGGCAAAGTCGGAGCCGCGCCTACGGAGCGGCTCTTAAGCATAGTCGGGAAGGTTGCGGCGTACTAGCCCTAGGTAATGCCGAGCCGTTGGCAGCAGTCTTATGTAAGAGAAGGCAGGTACGCCGGATCAAGGTGGTCACAATGCAGGTAAGAAGGTGGGCGAGTGTCACGACTAGGGCAAGGCATTGAGGTGAACTCAGTCCATTGGGTGCTATCGACGAAGATTCTAAACTGAGGAAGGAAAGAAGGAAAAGTCCAACAACGCGTCGCGTGCTCGCGAATAAGTTTTCATCTATCAGTGGGGTAGGTGGGGCCTCGAGGCGGCTTCTGATAGGCCCGGGGTTCTGGGCGGCTCTGGCTGCTTGAGGGCCAGTTTGGTGGACGGGTCCTCACAGCGAGTAACGAGTAGTATTGGTGTGAGACTTCAACCTGGCCCTCGCAAAGGAAGGTGGGCGAGGGCCACTGTTTATATACGTGCTTAGGGGCTCAGGCCCGGGGCGCCATGGCGTGGCGTAGTGGCTTGTGCCAACTGGCAGTGTTTTGGCCAGTTGGTAACAGGTGGTGAGCGCGCACCCTGTGCGCGCGGCTGGTGTTTGGGTTGTCCTTTCCTTACATCCTAGAAGATGACTAGCTTGGAGGCGAATACATAGTATGTATTGCCGCCGTACTTTATCTCGTCGTTGTACATCTTGGCTAGGTCGGTAAGCTGCCTTGCGTTTGGAGGCCCTTGCAGTACGGGTGGTTACTCGAACTGGGCGGCTTCGGATCGAGGGCCAGGTAGTCCTGCCGGGACTCGAGCCGAGGTCTGTCATCTTAGGGTCTTTGCGCTGGGAATCGTGGCCGCCACCACCACCGCTGCTGCGACTTGGCCTCGAGCTCTCAACGTTGTGGCGCCTGGACTTGTGGCGTCGCCGAGACAGAGAGTGGTCGTGGGGCGATCTGTCGCGCTTCTGCTCTTTTTTGTCTTTTTTGTCTTTTGTCTTTTCGGTCTTTTAGTACAACTGCTTAATTATAGCGGTGGCTGTTCCTGTACAGGATCGTCTCGGTAGCTCAGGTCTGTTCTTTGTTGGTTGAGTTGTTGGTTGTTGGTGGCAGGTCTGTTCTTCTTTGTTAGTTGAGTTGTGTTGTTGGTAGCGGCCAGATGTCGCTGCGGTGGGTCGAGTTTAGCTCCAGGTAGCTCCCCTACCTAGGGATACAAATATGTATGTACCTTGGCTGCTAGACCTGGTGTTTCGGTACTTGTCTCGGTAAGGTGACCAAGGCCGCTGCAGGTCTCCAGAATGATCAGACTACTCGCTCACGGAATGAACGTGCCAACGTTGCGCTGTTTGCTTCAAATATCCCCACATGATAACTGGAACAGCTAAACCCAATTAATTGTTTTGTTTTTGAACCGTCTTGCCGTCTACCAGTGACGTGACGGGCTCTCACAAGTCACAACAGCCCGCTTAACGGGGCAGCCCACCAACGGGGCAGCCACCAACCCACTAACGGGGACACTAGGCTCGACTTAGCCCCCCTGGCAACGTTGAGCTCGCTGACTGCAACAGCCGTTGTGGCGATGACGAGTGATGCGTCAGGCATCCGCATATATATACTCCGTCGTTTCGGGAGACATGCAAGAGCAAGCAGTTGCCAGCGAATTGACCAATCCCCGAATTACCCTCGGCTCTTTTGCATTCCCGTCCTTGACGCTATTGGGTGCCACGTCGATCCCAAGATCTCATTTTCGTACTTGTTCCGGCCATTGATTACATTTGCCTACACCTGAGCATCACAACAGACTGTGTAAACATGGAGGCTTCCACTCGCCTGCATCCGAGCATCACAACAAACTGTGCAAACATGGAGGCTTCCACTCTGCACCCAATCCCCGCCTTGACAGGATAACCAGATCACGGAGAGCGAGGACGGAGGCTTCATATAGAGAGCCGAAGGCGGTTTTTCTATAAACTTAGGTGTATATACGCGTGTATTAGATGACCTAAATAGATCATGGACTTGTCTCGTAGTCCCCTGTGCCAAGAAAAGCATCGAGTTCTCTACCTAGTAGTCCGCCGTCTACATATCTTCCTTGTCACCTCCGCTTGCTATGACCGATAGTCGATCCACTCCAAACTCATGGCGGCCACCCCAAACCCGTGACGGCCACTCCAAACCCATGACGGCAATGGCCTCCACCAACTAGTGCAAGCCTTGTGAAGCCACCTTACAAGCCTCAAGATGCCACCTTACATGCCTCGGGATGCCACCTTACAAAGCCTTGCGGAAGCGGTTGACTTTCTGCAACGCTCTACGCGCTGACGTAGTGGTGCCCATGCTATCTCCAGGACCAAAGTCTGGAGTGCCACCGAGACTGCCAAAGACGTCGCCGATATAGTTTGTTGCGTTGATGCCGGAAGCGAATGTGCCGTTCCACTGACCAACGATCCCGTTGACGATCTCGATGCCGACCGCAAAGAGGTTCCGGAGCGCAATCGAGAACCCGTTCTGGTCGACGGTAAATAGGTGGTCATATGCGGTGATGCCCGGAGGAGGCCGATCAAAGTCGGAGCCTGGCAATCGGCATCCGTGTTAGCGAGACATCTCGTTCGCCAGAAGTCGAGGCAGCCAGTCAACAGCGCGCTGAGCCGGGAGGAGGGAGGATACGACAAGACTTACCAGATCGCATCACGATGACACGCCCAAAATCAACCAGGCCAGCTATGGCCATGCGCAGGAGGACTTCCAGAGTGGCGTTGTCTTCTTGAGCCGTCATGCAATAGACTCCGCTGCCATTTGTCCAGCTGGTGGTGATATTCTCAAACGCACCGCTGAGCAGATTGCCAGAGTAGTAGACGTCGCTCGTGGCAGTGTCACACCTGACGACAGAAGGAGGATAGACGGCAGCAGACTCGACGTCGCTCCCAGTCTTGTACTTTGCCCGGTATGCGGCGGCTTCGGGGTTGTCAGACAAGTATGCGTTGAGCGCGAACTGGAAAGCGCAGTCACGCAACGCCTCGTTGAGCTCAAAGACCTCGGTACCATAGTAGATAGTAGGAGGCTGGTCTGGTGCGGTCGTTCCGAAGGGGACGTAGCCGTTTGGATAGTTGCCGGGAATCTCTCGGCTGTCAAACTCGTACTGGAGCGCAACTTGAACAGCATACTTGGCCAGAGCAACACCACCCAGCGTGGACTGCTTGGGGTTCACGCCGGCAATGCCGCTGATCAAGAAGTATGTCGACTCTAGGTTGAATTTGCCGGACAGCACAAGAGCGGTGATGGTTGTAGCCGCGTTGATTTCTGATTCGCCGGTAATGACTTGACAAATCCGGTGATCGGCCACGCAGTAGACGTTGGGATAGAGCACGGACAATCCAGGCACAGTGATGTTGAGGGCATAGAAATATCCAAAGTCAGTCTTCGGCATGTTGTCATACCACACTTGGGCCTCTGGAAAGAACTGCAACAACGCGGGTTAGTTGTTTGGGAAAAATCAATCATACGAGGTGCTAATACAGGCAGGTCTGTTCTGCTGAGCGTCGAGTGGAAGAGGGCAATGGCTTACCATGTTGATTATGAACACCATGGGTGCAATCTTGTAGTTTGGGCGACGAAAATTCACGCCTTGGTTAGGCGTGGGGGTAGCAAACGACATGGTGACCCATGCCAGCAGGGCAATGATTGCCCACACAGCGGGAGAGAGGCGCATCATGTGTACGGCTGCGAGTAGCTGATTGTTAATTAAGAGGAAACAAGGTGCGACAAACGCGTAGGTAATATAGGGAAGCCTACTTCGGAGTCCAGACGCACGATGGAGATGAATGGTCGATAGAAGAGAGCTCGGAGCAGCTGGTAAGTCGTGAGCTGGTGTGAGGTCTCTGGTTCGGAAGTTTTGGTTTTGGAAAAAAAAAATGGAAGGGTTGAGAAAGTGTGGGTACAGACTACAGTTGTTAAATCTGAACAGTGCTAGTTCCCACTGTCCCAAAATAAGCCGGGTAGGCAAGAACTCCGAGGCGGGCAAGAACAGCGGGGAGCTCTTGCAGGATATCTACAGACTTCAGTTGTTAAATCTGAACAGTGCTAGTTCCCACTATCCCAAAACAAGCCAGGCAGGCAAGAACTCCGGGGCGGGCAGGAGACAGCGGGGAGCTCTTGCAGAATATCTGCAGACTACAGTTGTTAAATCTGAACAGTGTTAGTTCCCACTGTCCCAAAACAAGCCGGGTAGGCGAGAACTTCGGGGACTGGGGACCGGGCAACTGGGCAGGGAATGCTATTTACATCCCAACTTAGACCTCGTAGGCCATGTCCTGGAACCGAAAGAGGTTTTTAGGCCCCCTCGTGTCCCCTGCCCAAATTTCATTCACTCCCAACTGTTGCCTCTTGAAATCGAGAATGGAATCCTCACTTTCTTTTGTTGCGCCGGCCATGCAACACCACAAATTTGACAGTTGCAACCGACGATTCCAATAAGTAGCTATCTTTTCCTACTTTTCCTGCCCGAAACGCATTGCGCAGGGCCGAAAAATAGCTCGATCGAATCTTCTTGATCCGGCGCACATTATCCGCGTGTCTTTCCCAATGGCGCGGCGGCTCAGCAAGTAACATACGGAGTGTGCCTATTATCTGCTCTTGTTTCCGTCGCAAAGCCCCCAAAGTTGTTGTCGACGCACATTACCCGCGTGTCCTTTCCAGTAGTGCGGCGACTCAGCAAGCAACAAACGGTTCGGCGGTTCAGCAAGCAACAAACGGTTCGGCGGCTCAGCAAGGAACAAACGGAGTGTGCCCATTTTCTGCTCTTATTTCTGGCGAGAGCTCCCAAAGTCGTTGCTGGCGCACATTGCCCGCGTGTCCTTCCTGGAACACGCCTACGTGCTACAGAAGCGACATGTTCATACCGGCGACCCTTTTACGAAGCGTAAGACTCAGCCGGTTCAATACGCGCCTGTTCGTCCTAGACGTAAGTCTAGCATTCTCCATACATTCTGTGCGGTAACCGACTATATTCGAAGCTGTTAGACCTGCTTACCGAGAAACCGAACCTGTCCCTCGATCAAATGCAGTCCTCGAATGCAACATATACGTGACGACGGCATGTACAAGTCAACTAGAGGCCGCCAACTAGACCAAAAACGGCTACTTCTCGAGGCCGCACGAGAGCGAGCTGCTTCGCCTCGACTGGGTCAGGAAGGTGGCGCTATTCACAACCAAATGTTTGTCTTCGTCGATGAATCCAGCACTGAAGGCCGCCAACTGGACTAAAAAAAACGCGTGCTTCTCAAGGCTGCACAATAAGAGCGAGCCGCTTCGCCTCGCACAACAAGACGCCTGCTTCTCAAGGCCGCACAACAAGAGCGAGCCACTTCGCCTCGACTGGGTCAGGAAGGTGACGCTATTCACAGCCGAAAATGTCCGTCTTCGTCGATGAATCCGGCACCGAAGGCCGCCAACTAGACCAAAAAGCGCCTGCTTCTCAAAGCCGCCGGAGAGCGAGCCACTTCGCCCTGACTAAGCCAGGAAGGTGACGCTATTCACAGCCGAAATGTCTGTCTTGGTCGATGAATCCGGCATTGCTGAAAGAAGGCCTTCCTGCCCTTCAACCCGTTGCCGCTGTAGCCGCCTCCGCCCGCCCCAAGTCGACCAAGGCTGGAGGAGAACGGCCCGAAAAGGGGGACACCATGTCGCCAATCTTCGCTATGAACGTGCTCGCTGGGCTGGGAAAAACAGAGGTCTAGCCACAGCGGGCACAAAGCGTAGCCGGGAAAAGGTGTGCTGAAGAAAGCCTTCTTACCCTTCCACAGGTGTGCTGAAGAAGGCCTTCCTGCCCTTTCACCGGTTGCCGCTGTGGCTTCTCCGCGTGGCCCTGCGTCTGGTACTCGACAGGTTGGCCGCCGGGACCAGCCAGCCATCCTAGAACAAGCCGCTGATGGCGTACCACCACGCCCACATCCTCGACGCTGCTATTCAAGAATCTCAGCCAGCGATATCCAGCGACTTGATCAAGTGTATAAAGGCCAAGCTGGACCGCCGCATCACCAAGCTGGACCCGGCCGAAAAGACAGGCTGGATCCGTTACGCCAGTGCTGTTGCGTTGGAAGCACAGTCTGTCTTGGCCACGAGATAGGAAGATGTGCAAAGCGTATTTAGAAAGATGTTGTTACCCTTGGAAGGGCTCGCCAGGCTCTCGTTTGACCAGGATTCGGCGCTGGATATCTACCCTCTTCGCAATCACCTCGGCTGGTTCGATCAGTGACCCATCTCCGAACGCGAACTCAGAAGACGTGGAGATATGAGCAGACTCGATTTCCGGGATCCGACCTCTGAGAGCCCTGCAAACTATCAAACCCGCCACCCAGTAATACTACCATTTGTCGTGTCGAACTTTTTGCCTTTTGAGGAATAAGTAGCTTCAAGTTCAGGTCTACCCCGCTAGTTACAGCACTAAATGAGCGAAGTGTGGATTAAAGAACTCGGTGATATGCTTCTGGGATATCTTCGAGGGGCACACGGCACATATACCAATATACCCAAGGCTCTGTCTATGATGTATCTCGTCGCCTTGGAGATATGAGTGGCAGTAGACAAGCTGGCTGGTAGCTCGGTGCCTTTGCTGCTGGATTACGACCCAATGATTTTGCCAGAGGCCTTCATATCCTTGTTGCTCGAGACAAAGGATGTAATGCGCCGGCTCAGAGAGGCTGAAGACTATCTTGCCACGCGCAAGCAGAACGCCGCCTATCCAAACATATCAGTATCCCACCACTTTGGCTATAAGCACTCGTTCGCTGCTTGACTATTCAATAGTGACTCGTTGTATTGGATAATGCATAAGATTATCGAGAAACGAGTAGATTAGGGTTTGAAAAATAAGAAGTTAGAGCTTGAGATGCAGAAGATGCGGTACGATGGTCTTGTCCAGTACATGCAGTCCGCTACGTGTTTAATAAAGTGCTCGGGAGAATATGATACAAAGTGCCAACGATGCATCACCAAGGAAGGCCCGGGTCAGGGTTGTGGCGGCTACGAAAGAATGGTTTAATTATAGCTAGATATTACCGTAGCTAAGTGGTGACGTAGGTTATCAGGCTGTTATGGGCATCTTCAGCGGCCTGTGATAACACGTGCAGTCGCTGTGCCTGACCTGGCCCTGGGTTTCTCATTGTGAGTGAGGTAAAGTACCTAAAGGTTAGTAGAGTCTAGTTTCGGCAGTATTCCTATAGGTCTAGCAATACTTTTGTGAATAATTAGGGCTATGACGAGAAGAAAAAAACAAGTTTACAACAAAGGCCTCACTCGTTGGGATATTAAACATTCACAAGGTACAGTGGTATGGCGAATTGGTTGTGAAGTCGAGGCACATGGACTGGTTCCTCTTTTGACGCCAGATTCGCGACGCGACGTTCAGCGGTTATCAAATGATTACAAGGCCTCAGCTCTATTTTCCCATGCCCCAAAATTCGTACCTCATAACTCAAGAATTACTCCCCAAACTCTCTCAACTCTGGCCCCCCCCCCCCCCCCCCCGGCCTACAAAAAAAAAGAAAAAAAAAAAGAAAACCTCCTCCCAATCATTACCAAATGTCCCTTTACTCCTCTTCCTCCTCCTCCATGATGGTGGGCATAAAGGGCGCCCGTTTGCCGGCATTGGGGTGCACGGCGAAGAATATTCCTTGCTCATCCATTGTGAGCTCGAGAATGTCACTGGTCTCTGGCCAGTACCAGTATATGAGCTCATCAGATCCAAAAGCATACAGCAGCTCCTTTGCGTCGGTATTGGGGACAGGATATGTGTGTGTGATGGTGATATCCTTCTTGTCGTCTTTAGACTCTTGCTCCTTAGTCTCCTCTTCAACGGTGAGGCCTTCTTCCTGGCCAGGGTCGACATGCTCAATCTCGATGGTGTATTTCGCATTGAAAGCCACTATATCCTCCTCACTGAGAGGCATCACGAGGTTGGACTCTGGCATATACCAGAAAACCTTTCTCTCTCGGCTGATAGCGTATTGTAAGCCTCGATCGGTGGCGCCGGGGACGGGAAAATATCTTGAGAGGTTGTTAATCGCCGCGTCTGTGATGGCGGCGAAGGTCCGATCCTCCTTGGGAGGCGACGAGGTCGTGGCCTTGGGCGAGTTTTGGGGAAATTCTAGTGTCATGGTGTACTGGTCGTTGAAATCGGCCATTTCCTTCGTGGTGAGCTTCTTCACCATCTGTTCTTCGAGTAGGTACCAAAAGATTTCGAATCTTGCCGTAACTGCGTATTGCAGGTTGGCGAACCGGCTGCCGGAAACTGGAAAGCTGCCTTCAAAACTCACACCGCACTCCTCAACTGCGGTAATGGGTTCCCAGTTCTGGGGCATTTCAAATTCCCGAGCGAGGGGAGAAAGGTTCTTGGGCGGGGCCGTTTTGAACTCCCGAGCGAGGAGAGAAAGTTTTTTCGTAGTGACCATTTTGAACTCCCAAGCGAGGGGGGAAAGTTTTTTCGCAGTAGTCATCTCAAAGTCCCGAGCTAGGGGAGAGAGCTTGCTGTAGACGATAGTCATGGGTACATCGTCTTCTGGTTGTGTGTCAGGAGACGAAGCGCGCACGCTCTCGTCGCCTTTTGAGATCGAGCCATTACTGTTGATGGCTGACTCGAGGCTCGAATCTCCTTCAGTGTCAACCGACTCTGTGTCGATCGAGGTTGTGTTCGAGGCATCAACCTCAGCCAGGTCCGTATCGATATCTTCTAGATCAACTGACTGTGTGTCGACTATCTCCAGATCGACGAAATCTGCCCCAAGAAATGGAGCGTCAACAATAGTGTTGTCAACGATGATAGTATCGATCACAAAGTTATCAACGGTGTGGGTATCAGCCATAGGTGTGTCGACGATAGTGACGTCAACTATACGTCCATCTACCTTGGTTGTGTCGACAATTATGTTGACGATAGGAATGTCACCGTGGAAGGGTTTATCGACAGTCAGGCTGTCAATTGTGGTAGTGTTAACCATATCAGTGTCGATGGAGATAGAATTAATGATGCTGGCCTCTTCAATGATAGTGTCGACAGTTACTATGTTGAAAATGACTGTATCGGTACTAATGTCGATGGGGGTGATATTACTGGTTTCAATGATAGCTAAGTTGGTGTCGACTGCTTCCATGTCAGGTGATATATCAAGATCGGAATCCTCAGGTAGAGGAACCTGGGAGGCTTCAACATCGGAAACGGTCATATCAGCTGCCGAGGCATCGGCATTCGAATTGCCAGCGTCGAGGTTGGCGTGCTGAGATTCGTTGAGAGGTGTCTCCTCATTCACTTGCTGGGCCGGAGAGATGTCACCAAGAGTTTGGTTGTCGATATCGAGTTGAGTGTTTGCCTGCTCGGCAGGCTTTGGAGTAGTAGCCCGGAACACAAAGATGGCGAGCTTCTGAAAGAAGCGAGCGCCGCAGCTAAGGAGCTTAACCACCTCGCGGTAGGCTTTGCTGATGAAGTTGGGAGTACCCTTGCCGAGATATTCGAAGACCTTGCGTAAGGCCATGGTTTCTTGCGCTGAGCCTAGTGGTTGACTGGCACCTGGCGAGCCAGGGTCATATTGTGGAAAGACGAATACCATGGTTGAAGGTAGAGGAGAGTGATGTTGATGCAATTTTGTAGAGATGAAGTCGAGTGTTAGTCGACGAACCAATTTTGCTTGAGTAGACGGTGATGTTTGATGGAGATACTATATGTCTATAGTAGAAGGCGATGTTGATGAATAATGACAAGCAAAGATGATCTCGTCGAATGATGGTAGATGCAAAGAGTTGAGGAAGCCGATGGTGGAAGTCCAAGTCCAGGCGTAGTTATAGGAAAAGAGTGCTGAGAGGGGGGGTAGAAGGGGCAGAGGGTAATATAAAGTAACTGCAGCGACTTGGGGCGAGGCAATGAACAGCTTGTCTATTCAGGTTAGCTGTCTAGCTCCACTGTCCAGAGCTGTTTGGTCGGCCACTTGACGCGACTGTTCAGTCAAGCTGATCAGATGAAGTTGCCTATAGTAACGCGAAGTGGATTACGAGGTGTAGGAAATGAATAGCGACGCGAAATGCGCGCGAGAGATAGAAATTATGCTTACCAGTTTGTCGCTGAATGCCAACGATGGAGGTGATGATGGGCAGGTATCTGGTGATACCTGTGACTGTTCTACTATTGTTAGCTCAATGTTTGCTGGAGTTTGGTTCACAGCGGATAGTGCTCAAAGATGCACAGCTTGTACGCCAAATAGAGAGCGAGTTACGAAAGTGGATAGAGATATGATATCAGCGTGGTTAATTACTTACCAGAATTGTCAAAGACTGTAGATGAACTCTCGAAAGACTCGATGCGGTCAAAAGACTCGATGCGGATAGCCGAAGGTGATGTAGAGTGCGAAGTGCAAGCAGAGCGTAGAGTGCTAAGCTGAAGATGCTGTGTAAGAGGAAGAAAGGCGGAAAAGGTGCGACCGATCTGGCAGAGTTTTATGTGGTTTCTCGCGAAGCATGAACAGCCTTGCTGTCCGGCTCCGTATGCTACCCGCGGGAGCAACACTGTTCAGATCGGCTGCTTCACGTAATAGCAATATTGTTCAGGCCCTTTGTAGCGCACGCCCTTCGCTGTCGCCGTTGCCTGCCTGACCTAGTAACCGTGATGGCACGCCGAGTTTGCCACGGGCAAGGGGTTAACGCTAAGTAAATACGCAGCCAGGAGCCGCTCTGGATCTCGAGACATATAAAAAAGGCTGCAAATAGTTACTGCTTCATCTCAATTGATTACCTATTCACTGCCCCTTTACTTTTGGCTGCCGTATAGCCCGCTATCAATTTGGTCTACTAGTAGTGTGTGTCTATATGAAGCTATTAAATTAGTTGTTAATTAGATAGACATACAAATCACTCCTCAGCTGCCGTATAGTAGTCTACTTTGACATGGAAACAATACTCGTCGCCGTAGTCTAGATAGACAACCCGTTCATGAAACCCAGCCTCGTCAACGGCGCGCACAAAGTCGGCCAGGGGCGATACTATAACATCATAGTCATTAAATTACACGGGGATGGTCACCTCTGGGTCGACGAGCCGCATTAGCCGCACGCCCTGGGGGGCGTCTATCGCGACTATAAGTAGCGGTATGTGGGGGCCGGGGATAGTGGTGCCGCTGAGGTAGACCAGTATCAAGTCGACGCGCTGGTGGTGCAGGAACTGTGGGATCTGCTGTAGCTCGTCGACGAACAGCGTGTCGCCCGAGATGTAGATGCTGTAGCCTGTCGTAGCCAGGTCGCTTGTAAGGAAAGGACTCCAACCCACACAAGCTTGACTCACACACTTCTCGAGCGGGCTAAGACCTCACTCCTTTGTCTATGGCCCGACTCACTATCTGCACTGCACTCTGTCATGTATATAAGCAGTGGCCCTCGTTCCTTCCTTTACGAGGGCTAGGTTAAAGTGTCTTTCCAATATAAATCATTGCTTACGCCCTTCAGTACCTTCATCGTGACGATGGGCACGCGCCGGTCAAGCGAGGCCTCGGCGAGCTTGTCGAAGTGGTCCTCGTAGTAGTGGGACAGCAGGATGTAGTTGAGAGACGGCAGCTCGGCGAGGTCGACGGCTAGGTCCTTGAGGCGCGTCGCCGTTACGCCCGGGCCAAGGTGTATGTAGTTGCCGGCGTGCAGGAAGTTGGGGTCTATCAGAACGCGGAGGCTCGCCCACTCAATGACGGTGGTCGTGTTGCGGATGAAGAAGATGCTGCCATCGCCTGGTTGGCTGCCATCAGCCGCCGGAGTGCCAGGGCCATAGGTGTGGCCGACGGGGAGTAACAGCGGCGCATCTTGTGCTGTCTTTTGCTCTTTCAACAGGGGCACTCATCGGGTCGGGTCGAGCATTATATAGCGGAGGGTCTTGCTTATGTTTACGAGGTTAGAGAAAGACGGTAGATTTGCTTGCTGTCACGGCCGGCTTGGAATGAGGGCGGAACTCCTCTATTGGGCGCTATAGACGAAGATTCTAAACTAAAGGGAAAAGGGAAAAGGGAAAAGAAGCTCAAAAGCCTCCCCTCGCGAGATTCTTCCAGGGCGTCTCAAGGTGGGGCTCTGGCTGGTTGGGTGGATCCACCCAACTGGCGTCTGATTAGTCAGAGCGTCTGGGAGGCCTGGAGGACCAGGCCCTCACACACTGCAAGAAAAGGGCTCTGATTGGTTGTACAAAGTTCTATATAGGAGCTGGCAGCACGCTCTCTGGGAGAACGGTTCTGCAGCTATCAATGCATCTGGATAAGCATACATTGGTTGTGTCACGACCAGGGCAAGGCATTGAGGTGAACTCAGTCCATTGGGTGCTATCGACGAAGATTCTAAACTGAGGAAGGAAAGAAGGAAAAGTCCAACAACGCGTCGCGTGCTCGCGAATAAGTTTTCATCTATCAGTGGGGTAGGTGGGGCCTCGAGGCGGCTTCTGATAGGCCCGGGGTTCTGGGCGGCTCTGGCTGCTTGAGGGCCAGTTTGGTGGACGGGTCCTCACAACTGGCATTGGTAAAAGACTTCAACCTAGCCCTCGCAAAGGAAGGTGGGCAAGGGCCACTATTTATATACATAGTTGGGTGGCTCAATCTAGCGAGTGCCTGGGCCGGGTGTTTGTAGCCAGCTGGTCGCCTAGGCCGGGCCAGCTGTTTAAGGCCAGCTGGTGGCGCCTGGGCCGGACCGGGCGTTTGGGGTGCTCTTTCCTTACAAATGGCCAGAATCTCCATCTTCTTCCAGAACAAAAGAATCCCTACGTGCCAGCCAAGGACCTACCATTTCTTCCAAGATATCGCGATATACAGCCAAGGACATCTTTCCGTTGGTGTTGGTAGGAACACTATAGAAGTAAAGTGGTGACTTGAAGTTCCAGCCAACAGCAGCCCAAACATGGTATCGTTCAATGCCTTTAGAAGGTTCTTCAGCATAATGGATGCAGTTAGGGCAGTAACGCTCTCTAGGCTTCCGTATAATCTGAACCTTCTATTCAGGGCATATACCAAAATGAGATTCATCTAACCATCTTATATCGCGCCAGTTCTCAGGCAATGGGCGATAGGAAAGTAAAAGCTTAGCTACTTCTATCCTTTACTTAGCGTACGCTGGCGAGACAAAGCCCTTCTCGCAAGCAATACACTTCCGGTAGTCTAGTGTACCCATTGCCCTCTCAATCGTATGTAAGGAAACCACCCTCGTAGCCACCATGGCCACCGCCACCAGGGCCACCCTCGTTACCATCGCCACTATCGCCACCGCTACTAAGGCCACGCACTATCGCCACTACCACCCTGGCTACGCAAGGATGACTCGTAACCCCTTTCACGTGTATGTAGACCATGGCCTTCGCACACCTCTTTAGCTCAGGTCAGGTTGAAGTCTTACGCTAATACCAGTCATTACTTGCCTTGCCTGTTGCTCCTATTGTGACCACCTTGATCAGGCGTACCTGCCTTCTCTTACACGCGTTGAACGTAAGGTTTCTGTAGCTGCTGCCGTAACCCGCAGATAAAGTCCCGCCCTTGCGCCTCGCCAGAATCTTGTTGGATTGGCTATTGTCAGATGGACAAGGGTTGCATGTGGAATAGAGCTCATCCCAGCTGAGCTCTGGTGTGGTCATCCGAGGTGAAAAGAGGCTCAGGGGAGCTGAAATGAAGTGGCCAGTTCAGCTGGTGTGGCTACTTTTGCCACCACCATTGCCACCATTTACAACTATAATAGAGGCCCTCTGGCAGGACCAAAAAGAACAAGGAGGGAGATAAAAAAAGACAGTTGAAGGGCTGAATCCAACAAATCTCACCTTTCGTTTGATAAGTCGGTATTCTAAACCACAGTCCAACAGCAACATGTCACGAATCCCTATTTGTACTGGTTCGAAGGCGGGGCAGGGGCGGCGGGACCCGCCCTGGCCAATCCCGTCGATGAAGAGCAGATGAACCCACAGTTGCTCTGTCGTGTGGAGAACAGAGCGATGTGCTCTGTGTCCCCACAATGAGAGCAACAGAGCAACGCCCTAATTGGCCCACCTTAGATAGATATATACAACGGCCGTAGCCACGGTCTTTGATAGTTCTAGCTTGGTTCTTCAAGCAAGCAATACACATTCACTGCACTCATATACTTTGAGTGGCATTCCGATTTGACTGTATTACCCGTGCAATAGGAGCTTGCCCTTTGATCTATCTTCATAATTACCAACCCCAGCATCCTGTGGAGCCCGTGCTCCCTTACAAACAGACGACCCTAACAGTCGAGTGGTTTGTAATAGTCAGCAGTGGAGAGGCGTTTTTTGGGGTCTTTTTCGCCCTGGTTGCGATGGCACCAAAAATCAACCTAGGTGCGCAATCGCACTGCGCGCTGGATCATATAGAACACCGAGTTCCAACGTGTCAAATTATCGCCACAAAGCTATAAGCCCTCAATATTCCTATCAAAAACAACAGAGCCGAATTCGCGAGCCTCTTCTTCACTCAACTGGCCGCACGCGATTTGAAGGAAGGTCTCGCGGCGTTGTGGCGACCTGCGAATGAAGTGCACCACGTTATGCAGCTTACCAACTGACCCTTGCTTCCGCCAACCTGCTAGTAAGGCCTCTTCTTCTTCAAGCGATAACTGACCGATGAAGTCATCGTCAAAGGCTCGATCAAGGTGGGTTGACTTCCCTAGAATGAAGGCTTGTGCGGCGAGGTTCAGAACGTGGCCAAAACAGCGTAGCCGACGCTATAGGGCCAATTCTTCGAGTTTCTGATGGCTAAGGCCAATTTGCAGGGCGCCAAGTGTGAATTTAACCGCCAAACAGTTCGAATCTACGTTATCGCACTGGAAATAACCAAGCGAGTCCTCGATACCGTATTACTTCGCTACCTTTGTGAGGTAAAGAGCCTGATTCTCGCCACTGTAAGCCGTGAATGTGCGGTATCGCTAACAAATCGTGGTGGAGGGCGCCGTCGCGATCAGCGTAGTGCACAAAGATCGCCATATAGGGAATGGTCGATGGTGAGGTTCAAATATCGAAGGAAAGGTGCTTCTTGTATGGCGATACTGATAACCTGTGGCATAGGACTTCCTTCTGGGCATCAAACCAATTGCCAAAATACGTCCGAATCGTTGTGTGTGAGCTAGGAAGCGCCTCAGCTGCCCTATCAGGGTTCAAGTTAATACAGAAATCGCGAAATTCTTGTTGTTAAACGATATTGAATGGCAGGTTCAAGCGAAGGATCTGTTGGATTCACCAGGGTCCCGGTACTGGAATCAACAGGGCGTAACTGTACGCCGAAAGCTGGTGGTTCAAGTGATGGATTGTAGATGTGTGTTCTTCTCTCTCGCTTTCTGGCAGTGCCAGAAAGCCCCTTCTTGTACTACTATTGTGGTGGCGAAGTGGGTGGCGAAGTCTCTATCTAGAACCTTCGAGGCCCTTCTGCTTGACAAATTCCAACATTATAGCTTCTACTCTAGACCATCACCTCCGCGAGTCTTTCCAATGCAATCATCCCACCAAAAGGTCGAGTCCCTCTGCTTCCATATTGGTTCCCAATCGACAAAGCCCACGCACTTTCGCCCACATCGCTTAGGCAGCGCAAAATTGCCGAATTTTTGCCACAATGCCTAGCACACACCCACGCACTCTCGACAACGCCTGGCGGCACACGAAAGCTCACGACTCTCGCCCACAACACGAAGCCCTCACTATGACGGTCCAGTCGAGAAGCCTAGAAATCGGTATTCGAATGGGGGTGACATGCTTCTGCATCACTTCGGAGGGACAGGGCCATCACAAGAGTAACTTCTGTAAGGGCTTCTCTAAAATTCTCAGTAACAAGGCCGCTAAAGATCAAGGCCGCTAGAGAAGGGATTCCCTTTTTTGTTCGACTCTCTACAAACCCCTCAACAAACCCGACAAACCCCTCGATAAACCCTTCTACAAACAAACCCTTTCACAAACCTCTCGACAAACTCTCTACAAACTCCTCGACAAACCGACAAACCGATAACCCTCGACAAACTGACCCCTTGACAAACCGATAACCCTTGACAAACTGACCCCTTGACAAACCGACAAACCGACAAACCCTCGACAAACCCTTCTACAAAAAAACCCTTCCACACACCCCTCGACACAACTGAACGATGCCTCCGGCGGCCCTCCGGCGGGCTGCTCGCTACGCTCGGGACTCGGCCAGGGAAGGTCTCCCCTCGAGCGGCGGTCGGCACGCCAAATCCTTTGGCGGTATATACAACTGTACGGCGGGCGAGGCTTCCGGAACCTACATCTCGGGTGGCTGCCGGGCAGGCTTCCACAACATACACCTCGGGCAGGTACCACTGCCCCGAGACCCGTCAACCTCATGAGCGACAAACTGGCCAGAGCAGGCCTCATGTGAGCATAGAAGAAAACACACTGTCAGAGATGAAAAGCAGAAGCCAGTCGCCTTCCAAGTCACGCCGCAGGCTCCACGCACCGCAGGCTCCATGCCAACCGTCGTCAGCATGTATACAGATCACAGGATACGACAAACCTCATGTGCGGGAAAGCTACCGACCAAGCCGAAGTGTGCCCGCTAGACTTTGTGAGCCAGCAACAAACGCTTACGCCGCCACCGCTTGCGTTCAGCCTCAGCAGAGCGACTTGACGACAGCTAGGCCACCGAGACAGCCAGGCCACCAGTCCACAGCAGTCCAGCCACCAGTCCACACAAAGGCCAAGTCCCCAAGATAAAGACAAAGGTTACCTTTGATTCTGCAAGGCATTCCCGACCAATAGCCGGCGTAACACGATACCACACATAGCAGCCGACTAATACCCGGCGTAACACGATACCACACACAGCCGCCGCAATACTACGCCAGATCTACGCCTACCACGCCCACAACAGCCAGCGGCAACGACACCGCCCATAACAGCCAGCGGCAACTACACCGCCCATGACAGCCACCAAACACGACAACACGCCCAGCCAGCGATAACCGCGCGCCCAGCTACCAGAACAGCCCGTCCAAGCACGACAAGTCGAACAGGACGCCAGACGCGAGCAGTCCAGCGACAACAAGTAATAGCCCGCCCGAGCAACACATTAGCCCGAGCAACATAACAGCCAGCGGCAACGACCAGCGTTTCACTCAGATCAGATATATCTATCAGATCGATCAAATCGATCAAACAGATAAGGCCCTTCCGGTCATCAAACAGATCAGATATCAAGGTCATATTTGTTTGACTATCTGACAGATAAATGAGGGCATTCGGAGCCCGGATTAACTAGTAATTCCGGCTCCGGCCGGATTTGTGACCCGGATAATTGTTGATCCGGACCCGGAAGGGGTCGTTTCCGACCGCCGCCCCGAATTCCCCCCCAACTTTACTCCTGCCGCGCCCTCAGCCGCACCCTCACGCGTGCCCTCAGCCAAGCCCCGGCCCCCACCCGAGCCCTCAGCCAAGCCCTCCCGATTGAAGCTATCGCGATGCATTGATCCCGGTCACGGAGCCCTGCAACAAGCGTTGCTGCCAGACGCTCGCGATCTCCCGGCCCGAGCCGTCAGCAGTCGCTATTCTCCCAGATACAGTCACGGCCTCAAACCATCGAAGAGCAGGTTGCCGCCGCCCTCAGTGCCGCGCCCGTCATCGAGGGCTACATCGAAGACCTCTATCGTATCAGCTGGGGCAACAAGCATTACGTACTGGCCTCTCAGATCTACAAGAAGTCATCTCGCGGCCGTACAAGCTGGGTCAAGGATCACGGATGGTTCCTAGCCGCCATCACGGCCAACGGTGCCCTCCAGCCCGGCGGAGAGGTCTGGTGCTGCATGTATTGCGACCGTCGGAAGAAACACACTACCTTCGATGCTTCCTCTACATCATCGCCATCTACACATCTGGCTAAGGAACATTCTGTTTTCCGGCAAGGGAAGAAGCATGCTGATCGTCCTGATGTGTTCGCGATGCAGCAAATAGCTTCACGGATCCCCACGGCCAAAGATCTAGCCGCAAAGCACCTTGCCGTTGCATTCATCGTCAATTCCGACAATCCCTTCACTACCTTCGAAGATCCCTACCTCAAGAGCTTCCTGAAGCTGTTCAACCGAGAGCTCGCCGCTACTGTTGCCTTGGGGAGGAATACCTTGACGTCGATAATGATGGAGATATTCAGGGAGCAGAAGACGGTTATTCAACGTGAACTTCAGGATTCCCTTTCCTCCATCCACATCAGCTTCGACCTCTGGACCTCCCCAAACCGCCTGGCATTCGTTGCTGTATTCGCCCACTTTCTCAACAGCAAGCAACAGTATACGAGCCGGCTCATTGCGTTCCGACAGCACCCCGGCGTACACAGCGGCGAGAACATCTCCAATACCCTCTATAACATCCTCCAAGACTGGGATATCCCGTCAAAGCTTGGATTGATCGTTTGCGATAACGCCTCGAATAACGATACATGCCTCCGGGCCCTATACCCTCGGCTAATCCCTAGGATAGACGAGATGGATGTCCTACATCGTCGGATGCGATGTTTCGGCCATATCTTGAACCTGGTTGCGAAGGCATTCCTCTTTGGCGATGATGCCGATACTTTCGAGCTCGAGTCAGATTCGTTAGAGATCTTGGAAGAACACACACAGGCCCTCGGCCATTGGCGCCGCAAGGGGCCGATCGGCAAGCTTCATAATATCGTCAAGTTCATCCGGGCCTCACCTCAACGCTCCGAAGCCTTTCGTGAAGCAGCGGAAGCTGAGGATCATGATGACCTTCACGATTCTTTCACGCTGCATGCCGAATCAACAACCGAACTGGAGCTACGGCAAAACAACGCCACAAGATGGAACTCGACCTTCCTTATGATCGACCGTGCCTGGAAGAAACAACGGGACCTGAATGCCTACATCAACCAGCTACAGCTCGACCCTGCCGTTACATCAAGGATCGATCCTAAAGATATCCTTAATGCCGACGATTGGCGTTTGCTTGCAGAGATCCGGTTGATCCTCGAGCCGATCTATCTATTGACGATGAGGGCTCAAGGCCACACCGAGGGCAACGGATACGGGCAGTTGTGGGAGGTCCTGATCGGAATGGAGTACATCCTGGAACAGCTCGAAGACTGGAAGGCACTTTACCTTCCGGATTCCGAAGATCTAGCTGCAGAATCGATCAGTTTGCAGGCTAGCTTGGCCGGGCATCCCGAGCCCGATCTATTCGATTCACCGCCCCCGCCGCCCCGGCCTACGTACCGTCGTACCCGTCGCCAACGTACATCCCGGCCGGCATCACGGCATGAAGGCCGGGCATCGAGGTATCAAGAAGATGCCTTACCTCGGCATGCTGCAGCCGAGTATATCAGGGTCAGCAGCATCGTGAATATGCAGCCCGACGAGAGGGCATTCATCCGGGCATCGATCAACAACGCCTGGGTTAAGCTCGACGAATACTACAACCTACTCGGCGATTCACCCTTATTTGCAGCCGCCGTCATCCTCCATCCCGAGCTTGGGTTACCCTTCCTCGAAGGGGCCTGGAGCTCCCAAGAACACTCGCGGTGGCTCGGGCTAACGAAGCTGGCCGTCAAGGCTTACTTCGAGAATTGGTATCCAGACCCTCAATTGCCCCCCGAATCCCTGTCAGCATCACCGTCACCAATGCCTTCACAACTATCTTCGGCTTCATCAACAACATCACAACATCCCAAACGGGAAACAGGCAGGCTCAAGCAGTGGATCAATACCCGAATAGTACGACCTTCAGATACCCAGGGCGAGCTGGAGAAATATTACCAACTGGCCCCTCAAGAATGCCCCGATCCCATCCAATGGTGGCTGGATCACCAAAGCAGCTTTCCCCGGTTGAGCCGGTTTGCATTGGACCTTCTAGTCGTCCCGGCCATGGCAGATGACCCTGAACGGGCTTTCAGCCAAGGGAAGTTAACGGTGACATCCCAACGGCACAGGCTCGGTGAAGGACGCATTGAGGCTCTACAGATGTTGAAGAACTGGCTGAAGAACAACGTTATCCAGCTCGGAGGGCTCAGCACGGGTTGAGCCCGGCCGGGAATGCCCTCACTTACCTTTTTTGATCAGATATCTGTCAAATCTATCAAATCAAACAGATAATGGTCCCGTATTCATTGGTCAAATCAGATATGGGCCCATATCTGCTCTGATCTGAGTGAAACGCTGGCAACGACACCGCCCATAACAGCCAGCGAACACGACACCACGCCCAGCCAGCGACAACCGCTCGCCTACCAGCCCAGACAAGCCAGCAGCCCGCCGGACGACACAGGCCACGCAGCCGCCGCAACTGCGCGCGCCCAGCCAGCCCACAGCAGCCAGCACAGCAGCCAGCAACAACACGACGCCAGCCACCACGCTCACACAGCAGCCAGCAACAACACGACAGCCACCAGTCCACAGTACAGTAGCCAGCACAGTAGCTAGCAACAGCGTACGCCCAGCCACCACACAGCAAACATCACACAGCAAACACCACATAGCAGCCCAGACACGATAGCCGAGCGACAACAAGTCCAACGGGGCGCCTGAGCACGACAACAGCCCGCCCAAGCACGATAGCCAGCAGCCTCGCAACAACCGCTCGCACCCAGCAGCCCATAGCAGAGCGATAAAATCAATAGCCCGTCGCGTGCCGCCCGCCGCGTGCCGCCCGCCAGCTACCCCCCGACCGCCAGCCGCCGACCACGCCGACCACACCGACCGTACGCAGCCCCAGACCGCATCTCTAGTCTCCCACCACCATCGCGGTGCCACTTGGGGTGCCATTCGCGGGCAGCGGGGGGAACAGGGTCCCACGGCGTGCCGCCAGCCAGCCAGCTACCCCCGACCACGCTACCCACCCGCCGACCACGCCGCCCGCTACGCCGCCCCAGACCGCATCTCTAGTCTCCTAGATACTCTCCACCTCTCACACCACAGTGGTGCCACTTGGGGGGACTGCGGCGCAATAGGGCGTCCCGTCGCGTGCCGCCCGCCCGCCACCCACCGCCCGACCGCCACCCCAGACCGCATCCCCAGACCGCCCTCCACCTCCCAGACACTCTCTCTACCATCGCTGCCATTTGCGGGCAACAGGGCGTCCCGTCGCGTGCCGCCAGCTAGCTGCCCGCCGACCACGCCGCCGACCACGCCACCCCAGACCGCATCCCCAGACCCGCCTCTTAGATACTACCGTGGTGCCACTTGCGGGTGCCACATGCTCTGATGGGAACATTGGGCACGAGGCCATGTAATGAAATCGGCCACGGAAAACCCGTGGTCGCAAGGCGAGTGACATGACTGTAAAAACACAAGAATCGCGAAGGGGTCGAGGGATGGGATCAAATTGATAGCTTGAAATGAAATTCGCAATGTTTTTATTGCTAAAAGTTTTGCTAAGCTGCTAGGCTGTGCTGTTAACTAGCTCTTTGGGTGTTCTCTCTCCTCTCTTCCGTGGACAGCCTACAGCGAAGAGCGTGGCGGCCTGGCTGTGCAGTCCCTGGTCGAGTCCCGAGGGCAGCGAGCAGGCCGCCGCAGGCGCCCCCGGAGGGCCGCCGGAGGCATCGTTCAGTTGACCCCTTCCTTTTGCCTCCAGCTATGGTGTGTGGTGTGCTTTCTCAGGCGTGCCTTCCCAGGTGTGCCTTCCCAGGTGTGCCTTCTCAGGCGTGTGCCTTCTCATGCTGTGCCTTCAGGCGTGCCTTCCCAATACCATTTAGGGCAACATGGCACACAACTAAATTTTACCGAGGGCTCCATCGGTTTCGCACAAAGTCGATAATTAAATTTTATCCATTTCGGTTTTGTGTATCTACATTTTACCAACGAGCGTTCCATCCATCTCCACAGCACCAACCGCCAGATATTCAACATGTCGCAGTCTTCGCAGTCTACGACGGAAGCTCCTACGACAGAAGCTCCAGCGTCAAACCTCCCGGAGTCCCATTATGCACTGAGCAACAACTGGGCCAGCTATATATATATGTTGGAATAACATACTGGAATGACGCGCTGATCCAAGGAATGCGGCTCCGCATTCCTGGCCACAGCAACATCTGTGGAGGAGCGGGCCTGACAGATGCATATATATTGGCCTACGCCCACCTGTTCAGATAGAGAAGAAGAGAGACAGACACAAACGAATCCATCACTTGAACCACCACCTTACGGCGCGCAGCGCGCCATGCTGTTTCCAGTACCGGTACCCTGGTGATTCCTACAATATAGGTGCCCAGTTTACTAGCCGAGAAGTATCGAGTCTGAGAGGGGCCGTCGATGGATATTCCAGACAAACCACGTCGTTGCAAAACGACCTTGCCCGCATGGCGGCCGCTCTCGCCGAGTCCAAGGCGACGTCGGAGCGAATCATGTCTGAGATTGCTAGTCTAAAGCAAGACGTCGTAAAGATGCACAAGAGCATCGAAGCCAGAGAGCTAAAGCAGCCCATCATCAGCAACGAAGCCGAGGCAGCTGACATGGCGACCCAACCTGGTAAGTACACACGCGTCGAAGCCAAGATGGCAATTAAGAGCGCCAGACTGTTGTCAGCAATACAAGCCTCGACGATGAACCAGACACGCAAGAGCGCCTGACTGTTGTCAGCAATTCAAGCCTCGACGACGAAGCTGAGGCAGCTGACATGGCGACCTAACTTGGTAAGTACACACTACGTCAGCTAAGATAGCATTCTAATTCTCGAACCAGATTGGCAAGAGAGCCAGATAGTTGTCCGCAATGTTGACAAGGACGGCCAAGTTGTCAACTAAGTTGTCAAGCACAAAGGCGGCACGCGCTTGGCTGGCCTAGAACGGACCCTACATGGCAATCGCGAGTTCAGACGCGTCTGCCGCTCTTTTAGCAGAGAATACGAGAACAACAAGCCGATTTCCGACGTGGATTTCATCTGGAAATTCATCGACAGCATCGACCTCTGTCTCTCAAAGCATATTCAGGAGTCGCTGGCCGCTGGCCTCTCCAACTACGTATACACAAGAAAGCAGATACGGGGGCAAAGTGACGAGCACTATGTCACCATATCGCGCAAACTCTCGTGGGATATATTCAGAAAGGCTCTTGACAAGATAGCTATGTTTTCGGCCTGAAGGATGGTTGTTTTCGGCCTGAAGGATGGTTGTTTTCGGCCTGAAGAATGGTTTATGTGAGGGATGGTTTTTTTCAGCTATGTGGAGCATGGTTTATGTGAGAGATGGTTGTTTTTAGCCATGGAAAGGATGGTTTATGTGAGAGATGGTTGTTTTGGTGAGCTTAGCTTCATGTCGGGCACTGGCACATCTTGCAACCACAACTCGAGCTTCATGTCGCACTAGCACATCTTGCAACCCAACTCGAGCTAGCAACATATCCCCTAGGGTATTATATCTCTCTACCTGCTGCAGTTTGTAGTTAGTGCATTATTCTTTCTCCAGCGGATCCGAGACGGGTACGAAAAGTGCCTCACCGTCCAAGAGGCCACTGATTCACCACTACCGAAGCGGCCCCGGATGGGGAACCCGAGAACGTCTGCAAGGACGACGATGGCGACGGCAATATGTTGGCTATTCATCGACCGGCAGCGAAAGAGGTTGAAGAAATAGGCGGGTGGCTCAACTTGGTGACGGCATGTTTCTTGACTTTATCTGGCCCCGAGGCCACCGCTCGATGTAGAGGCGCTTCGTCGGTTGCGTCATCCTCGTCATAATGGAGAGCTACCTCGCATACCTGCTGCCCGTCTAATTTGCCCATCTCACGGACAGCCTGCGAGCAGGTGGCGGCGAGTGTATCTGGTGCGACTATATACTGTTGCGTCTCTTACATCGGAGTACCTCAGACGCTAGTCTAGTCTTCCCCCGTAACATCATGTGCATGTCCGTCAGGAAGCATCGCCTGGTGAAGGTCAACACCGCGGCCCACGAAATAATCACGAACCTTGACGCCACCCTCCAGTCCGTCATATCGTCGGCCGACAAGATCTAGGCTGTCGATTCCGCCAGGCCAATCATCTTTATCATCGACGACGTCTTCCTCGAATTCCTGCCCCACATCGTCAAGTTGTGCCTCACCTGCTACAAGGTACACTCGCCCCTCAGCAGACGCTCACAGCTCATCTGACTCTGGCCTATAGCCTCGGCGAGAAGATTGCAGTAATGAACTAGAATCCGCTCCTGCCGAATCGCTCCGTCGAGGATGACGTCGAATTTAGCCGAGATGAGGCAACTATGTTTTTTATTACCCGAGTCCCCTTTTCCTTTCGTAGCCCTCCCTCTCCTCCGGGGCGATTCGTCCCGTGTTTGACGGCTGTCGATCCGCTAACCATGTTCACGAATCTTGGAAATAGTCATCGCATCTCAACAATTCGTGGTCTGGATTCCATAGTGGTCTCGGCCCAGGCGGCGCGATTCTCGAGACGGGAATCCACGATAACCTTGTAAAGAACGAGGCCAAATACTACCAACTATGCGAATGAGGGCTTGCCCAGCCGGTGCTTGGGGTCGTGGAGCAGGTCTATGGTGGCTTGAGTCGCACGTCGAGGCTCGTGGTGGCGGTGCGACAGCCAGGCACGTAGACGAGCCGCGACAACCGCGCGCCCCCCGGACTCGAGTGTTGATTATCTGTTGCTGCTGCTAGGCTTTGGTAATCATTCAGTGAGGATAAGGTACGGGATAAGGGAGATGAGAGACGCGAGAGATGACGCATCTCGAGACAGCCACAACACACAGCAGCCCAGACACCACGACGCCAGCCACCAGCCTACAGCAGAGCGATAACAAGTCAGCAGCCCTCGCAGACCTCGTAACAAGTCTGATGCCCGCCTCTACACGCTAGCCAAACGACAACAAGTCTAGTAGCCCTCGTAATAACCGCCCGCGGGTAGCCACGAGTCCAGCAGCCCAGCGACAGCAGCCAGCAACAGCAGCCAGCAACAACACGACGCCAGCCACCAGCCCACAACAGAGACGACAAGTCAATGGCCCGCCGGACAACAGCCGGCGCAGCACCCCTCGCAACAACCGCGCGCGCCCAGCCACCAGCCCACGGCAGAGCGACAAGTCTAACAGCCCGTCGCGTGCCGCCCGCCAGCTACACACCGACCACGCTACACCTACCGCCGACCACGCCGACCGCACGCCGACCGCCCTCTACCTCCCACACCTACCGTGGTGCCACTTGCGGAGGCCACTGCGGGGGGAACGGCGTCCCACGGCGTGTCGCCCGCCAGCTACCCACCGCCTACGCTACACTTAGCGCCGCGCTTGACGCACACGACTGAGATGCGGCGCTGCAGATGCGCACTATGTTGGCGTTGTTGCTGCAATTCCACGACCGTTGGCGAGTTCTGGAGATGCACGACCCTGATGGCGTTGCTGGCGATGCGTTGCTGGCGATGCGTTGATTCTGGCGATTTTGACATGGCAGCAATTACCGGCGCTGCAGCTCGCTGACCGACGTTACACTGCAGCTTCACCGACGTGGTACAGAACATGCGGGCCGCTGACCGACGTCGTATTGTCCATGCAGGCCGCTGACCGACGTTACACTGCAACTTCACCGACGTTGCACTGCAGCTTCACCGACGTGGTACAGAATATGCGGGCCGCTGACCGACGTCGTATTGTCCATGCAGGCTACTGACCGACGTTACACTACAGCTTCACCGACATAGTACAGAACATGCAGGCCGCTGGCGAGTTCTGATTGACGCGGCGCGACAGCGTTGGAGATTGACGGGCGCGTTTGCGCTGGAGATTAACGCGGCGCGACAGCGCTGCAGATTGACGGGCGCGATTAACGGGCGACAGCGCTAGAGATTAACGCGGCGCGATTGACGAGCGCGACAACGCTAGAGATTGACAATTACCAGCACGGAGATTGACAATTGCGAGTTCTGACTGACGGGCGCGACAGCATTGGAGATTGATGCGGGCTGCGGCGCTGCAATCGACGCGACGCAGCGCTGGAAATTGACGGGCGTGACAGCACTGGAGATTGACGGGCGTGACAGCGCTGGAGATTGACGCGTCACGATAGCGCTGGAGATTGAAGCGACAGCGCTGGAGATTGACAATTGCCAGCACGGAGATTGACGCGGCGCGACAGCGCTAGAGATTGACGGGCGAGCCAGCGTTGGAGATTGACGGGCGCGATAGCGCTACAGATGGACAATTGCGAGTTCTGATTGACGCGGCGCGACAGCGCTGGAGATTGACAATTGCCAGCTAGCAGAGTTCTGATTGACGCGGCGCGACAGTGCTGGAGATTAACAATTGCGAGTTCTGATTGACGCGGCGCGACAGCGCTAGAGATTGACAATTGCCAGCACGGAGATTGACGCGGCGCGACAGCGCTGTAGATTGACGTGCCAGCCAGGCGAGTTCTGATTGACGCGGCGCGACAGTGCTGGAGATTGACGTGCCAGCCAGGCGAGTTCTGATTGACGCGGCGCGACAGCGCTAGAGATTGACTGTGCCAGCGCTGGAGATGACGTACACGATGCTGCTTACATGTGCCAGCGCTGGAGATGACGCTGGCGATGGCGTTGTTGCTGGCGATGGCTGGCGATGGCGTTGGCTGGCGATGGCGTTAATTATGGCGATTTCGGGCCGCACCGAGATGTAGGCGTCCCGAACTGCCGGCGCAATTAACATGCAGCCGCTTCTGATTAGGTAACGCAGTGCCCTAAGCAGAAAGTGCCCCACAGCATATTCTCTCTATGCCGCTTCTGATTGGGTAACGCAGTGCCCCGCCCAAAAAGTGCTCACACAATTTCTCATTGATGAATTTCGCAGCCTCGAGCTTTCTTTCCTCTTCAACACACAAAATCTTCTACGCATTCCATTTTCAATCTCTCGAGAAAGTTTGCGTCTACTCCTACGACTAGAAAACTCTTCACATACCTTCTTTTCCCATTTCGCACCCGACTCATTTCGCCCCGTCGTGCATATTCTATCTTCCTGCACAACACGGCGTCATGGAGAGGGCCTACAACGATGCTGCCGATGGCAACACCGTCGATGGAAACGCTGGCATTGGAATTATTGAGGCCAATCTTCCCGATTTCGACCGCAGCAATTCTGTTCACCCGTACGACTATGCTTACAGTAGTCCCGCCAGAACTGAGCTGAATGGCCACCTTGTCCTTGCGTTCAACTCTGTTCATACTCCCTTGGCCATTATCAACGCTGCAATCCAAGCCTTCAAGTAAGTTCGTTGCCAAAATTGCCTTGAGATTTGAGCTAATTCCTTTAGGGACGACACCAGCGATGAAATCTCTGTCGTCTCGTTGCCGCGCGGGGGCATCAGCTATATCTGCAAGACCTCCGAGGCCATGGACTTGGGCCAGTGCCCGGATCAAATCTTGCAGCTTTCTGGCAAGGGTGAGTTTCTTTCGTTCAACATTGGGGGCTTCATTTCTAACATTAATAGATCTTGCCAAAAATGACAATTGCATCGTTCCACGCCCACGCAATTGTTTCATTCTTTACCGCCAGTGGGTTGGTGCCAAAATCCTTGCTGAAAACCCAGGCTTGCCAGCTTCGACGATCTGTAAGACTTCTTGTCACTCCGCTCACTGAGTATACGACTAATTCAATTCTAGCACAGGTTGTGTCAGTCCTTTGGCGCAAGGAGTCTGCGCTGATTCGGCAGCACTTTCATGGGCTCGCAATGCAAGAGGAGCAAATCCACCGACTATCATATCCCACGTATCACTATACGCCGTGCATGCGCGAGAAACCTCGCTGTGTATATACAGCTGGCACTGATGACGGTCAGCCGTTCAATCATGTCGCGGGCTTGACGTCTTTCGCGACCTACAAATCAAATTGATCTTGAAAGCGGCTTAAAGGTAGCTCCAACCCTCCTTTCACTTCTCTTCCTGTCCAAGGCGGCCGGCTAACCACTCTCCCGTGATGCAGACACTGGCAACCAATACCAGCGAGGACAGCAGCGGACGGGTGACTGGGATAAGGCTTTGGAGGGGAATATTTGCGTTAGTTTTAAGGGCCTGTTCCGGCAGGCGAGAGACAAGAGGTGGACACATGGAAAATTTGCGTTGGTTTTGAGGGCCTGTTTCCGGGCAGGCGAGAGAGAGACAAGAGGTGTACATATTGCGGCGGCTGTCGTGGCGTTGCGGTGCTGGGTCATTCGACCGGGTGCACTGCGGTGCCCAGTGAAGATAGGCTTAGGTTGCGTTTAATTTTCCGGACAAGAGGTGGACATATTGCGGCTGTCGTGGTCTGCGTGCCTGGGTCATTCGACCGGGTGCACTGCGGTGCCCAGTGAAGACAGGCTTAGGTCGCGTTTAATTTCACAAGAGGAGGACATATTGCGGCGGCTGTCTGCGGTGGGTCATTCGACCGGGCTGCAGTGTTCAGACAGGCGGGTCGCGTTTAATTCCCCGGACAAGAGGTGGACAGATATCGGCGTGGTCGTGGCGTCTGCGTGGGTCGCTTTATGAAAGCATTGGTGCGCGATGTAGATTAGTGCCGTAGGAATCAGAAAAGGGTTGGTACCTAGGCGTGCGGGTGTCGTGAGCGAGTGTTGTAGGCAGCAGTCTTTTTTCTCGGCGCTGCTTGCTGGGAGCGCGGCAGCACAGCCTTTCTGAATGCATCTCGACGTGCGTCCTAGGAGCAGCGCGGCAGCATCAGCCTCTAAATGTCCATCTCAGCGTGCGTGCTGGGCGTGCGTCCTGGGGGCGGCAGCAGCCTTTCTAAATGTCCATCTCGGCGTGGGTCCTGGGAGCAGCGCAGCAGCAGCAGTCTTTTTTCCATTCAATTCAGCTCGCTACTTGCTGGGAGCATCGCGGCAGCAGCAACTTTTTATCAACCTCTATCTCGGCGTGCGCCCTGGGAGCAGCGCGGCAGCAGCAGCCTTTTTCTGAAACCCTATCTCTGCGTGCGTCCTAGGAGCAGTAGTGCGGTAGTAGCGGCCTTTTTCTCAATCTCCATCTCGACGTGCGTCCTGGGAGCAGCAGTGCGGCAGCAGCGGCCTTTTTCCGAAACACCATTTTGGCGCGCGTCCTGGGAGCGTACGACGGGCGGACTGACCCGTTTGCCTGACTAGCGCGGCAGCAGCCTTTTTCTCAATCTCCATCTCGGCGTGCGTCCTAGGCGCGCACGACGACCCGTTTGCCTGACTAGCGTCTGCGATCGATTGCCTGCGTGTTGTGCGTAACAGTTTTTTTTCTACATTCGCTGCTTGCTGGGAGTAGCAGCGCGGCACTAGCAGTAGCTTTTTTTCTCATTCTATCTCGGCGCGCTGCTTGCTCGCTACGCGAGTATTATGCGCAGCAGTCTTTATTCTACTACATTCATCTCGGCGCGCTGGTGAGTGTTGTGCGCAGCAGTCTTTGTTCTACGTTGATCTTGGCGCGCTGCGCTGGGGGCGGCGCGGCAGCAGTCGCCTTTTTCTCAATCTCCATCTCGCGTGCGTCCTGGGAGCGCTGTCGCGCCTATCGATCAGAACTCGCAATTGTCAATCGCGCCGTGTCAATCTACAGCGATGCAGCGCGGCGTCAATCTCCAGCGCTGTCGCGCCCGTCAATCTGCAGCGCTGCAGCCCGCGTCAATCTCCAGCGCTGTCGCGCCGCATCAATCAGAACTCGCCTGGCTGGCACGTCAATCTCCAGTGCTGTCGCGCCAGTTAATCTCCAGCGCTGTCGCCCCGCGTCAATCAGAACTCTGCTGGCCGGCTGGCTGGCTGGCTGGCTGGCAATTGTCAATCTCCAGCACTGTCGTGCCGCGTCAATCAGAGCTCTGCTGGGTAGCAATTGTCAATCTCCAGTGCTGTTGCGCCCGTCAACCGCGCCGCGTCAATCTCCAGCGATGCAGCGCGGCGTTAATCTCCAGTACTATCGTATTAATCTATCTTTGTCGCTATCTTGGTACTGTTATATTAGGTATAACGTGATTGTATAGCGAGCGCGCATGTATAGCGAGCGGGCACTTTTCCTACCCCAATTGAACTATTATACGAAATACCAACACCGCAAAGGAAAAAAATTAATAGAAACTACTCAGAATCTAATTACTCATCCATTTTCGCGTCCTCCTTGCATGTAAGAGAGTTGTGTCCTATTTTGCCGCAATTACTACAGTGTCGTAAACCTGTTGCGTTGCTCCTCGTACAACCACCCCTCGATCGCTTTTCCTTCTCTACCAATGCATGCGCATCCCTTTGGGCCAAAATATCACTCGCTTCTTCCATAGTTAATGGTCTTCCTGCCCGGATACGACTTTTTTTAGCTCTCCGGCGTTTACTCAATGCTGCATTTGCTTCCTCAAGCTCTCGCACGCGCGCCTTCATCAACACCGTCTCGTGCATAACCTTCGTCGTACCCTTTACAATCTGATTAAGGGCCTCAATAATCGGGGTGGGTGAACTGCCTTGATGTCTAGCAATACGATCCTTGATGTGTATTGACTGTAGAGAGGCTTCGGTAGCATTTTGTGGCGTTTGAAAGACTCAGCTATCGTACGAGGCCTCGGGGGCCCAGTAGGTGTTGGCGTACGAAGCTTGATATCTAGCCCGGAAATGACCTTCTCTGGGTCGAATGGAATAAGGCCTGCCCCTCGAAAACCTCCTTGTATGTTTTCGGGTTCAAATGTCGCGTGGAATGCGTTGAAGAAGGCGAGAAAGAAGTCGGGCTTAGTGATGTGGTGAATATGGTTGCGCATCAACTTCTCAATTTCCTTGCTGTACGACCGCTTTAATACACTAAAACACCCGATATCAAGAGGCTGAAGTAGATGTGATGAGTGCGGAGGCATACAAAGCGTAATGATGTTATTTTCTTTGCAATAGTCCTCAAATTCGGCCGAATGGTGGCTCTCATGCCCGTCAAGGATTAGGAGTCGCTTTCCACCTATCGTACGGCGGCAAGAGTGTTGGTCAAAGTGTTTAATTCAATCAAGACCAATCTGGTTATTCGTCCAACCAGTTTCTGAGAGATCCACTACCCAGTCGGATGGGAAAGGGCTATCGCGATACCAACTCTCGAGGTGGACTTTGCCCGCAACCACTATATACGGAGGGATAGTATCACCACCCGACCGTACGGCCTGAATCACGGTAGCCCATTCCCGATTACCAGGCTGGATCTTCTTCACCTTCGCACGGCCGTCGGACGAGGTAACAACAAGTGTTGACGAGATCTGGCCCATCGTAAACCCAGTCTTGTCAAAGTTCCAGATATCCGACTCGAGAATCCCATATTTCGCAATTGTATTACGAACACGGTCAAACCACGCGCCAATTATCTTTGGATCTTCGCATTTAGCTCTTTGGTAGTCGTACGGACGCGTCCAACGCATCTTGAGCTCTGGTTGTCGTCGTACGAAGTTTGCAGCCCAGCGTGGTCCGACGCGTGACGCGTTACGCGTCGCGCGTAGCAAATTGGCCATATCTTCTATTATACCGTATCCTGGCGAAAATCCTTGCTCGTATAGGTCGAGAGCCCTTCGTATGATAACCTGCTCTTCAAGGGGGTCAAGATTCCGCGAATTGGCAATAATTTCTGCTCGAGGGAGGATTCCGTTCGAACGCCGCTCAAGTGTTCTTCGGGGTACGGAATATCGGGCTGCAGCAGTTGCAAGGCGAAGATTCTTATCGCGTTGCATAGCTTGAAGGGCAAGCTGTATTTGTGCTTCATTTCGTACGGCGGGCATGTTTTATCGTGGAGAAATTTACGATGTTTTGCGATAGTTCAATTGGGGTGGGAAAAGTGCGCGCTCGCTATACATGCGCGCCCGCTATGCAATTACGTTATAGGTATTAATCTATCTTCATCGTCTATGGGTATTAATCCATCTTCAATTGCAGCGTTGTCGCCCCGCGTCAATCTCCAGCGCTGTCGCGCCCGTCAATCAGAACTCGCCTGGCTGGCACGTCAATCTCCAACGCTGGAGCGCCGCGTCAATCAGAACTCGCCAGCGGCCTGCATGTTCTGTATGTTCTGTACCACGTCGGTCAGCGATGCAGCGCCGGCAATTGCTGCATGTCACGCCGGCAGCTCGGGACGCCCCGCACATCAGCGCCGGCAATTGGCTGCATGTCAATCGCGCCGGCCGGGACGCCCACATCTCGATGCGGCCCGAAAACGCCAGAATCAACGCCATCGCCAGCCATCGCCAGCAACGCATCGCCAGCAACGCATCGCCAGCAACGCCATCGGGGTCGTGCATCTCCAGAACTCGCCAACGGTCGTGGAATTGCAGCAACAACGCATCGGAAGGATCAACTGAACGATGCCTCCGGCGGCCCTCCGGGGGCGCCTGCGGCGGGCTCCTCGCTGCGCTCGGGGACTCGGCCAGGGGCTCATCCGGGCGGCGAGGCTTGTATTTGTACTGAGGATAGTACTTCAAGAGCATGTTCTTGCATTCTTGTGCCTTCAGATGGTACTTGGCGCGCGTTGCATCATCCTCACGACGCCACATAGTGCCAACGAGGGTAGCTAGAAAGTTAGCAAATCGGCCATCCGAATTATCTCCTTCAACTCACAGATCTCATTATTTTTGAGCGTCGGATTGGCATTCTTCAACTCCTTGTGACGATCCTTACGGTACAAGATAAACGCGTTAGGAGGGCGTGGCACCTTCTCGTAGAGAGTGGTAACGTTGAATTGACGGTGCGGGTCAAAGATGGTGACTTCGTTATATTCGATGAGATGATCCATCATCTTCTTAAACGGCCCCAAGACCCAGTTTTGCGCGTTTCCGCCATCGCGAACCCAGATTGCCTTGTCACGCGAAAAAATCCTAACACGAGTCAGCAGAAGCAGGGAATGTAATTGATCCAACTTACTCCATTCGACGCGTTAGCCCAGCGCGAACCTCTTCGCTCAAACTATTGTACTGCTCCTTGGAAAAGTCGAGAATCTTGAACTTGTTCTGACGTCCAAGCTTGCGGCACGAATCGTTCCAAATCACCCTAGCAGAGGGGGGCCGAGGGACTTCTTCGCCCGAGACGGCCATAGTGCTTGCCATAGTGAATTGGTCGCAATTGACGTGGACGCGAGAGATCAATTCTGCAGAGTGGAAAGAGTTGAACGGTGGAGGATGAAATGAAACAAATGAGGTGGGTAGGATGCTTTTGCCAACTTTACCAAGCTCTGGGCTGGATAGCAGAGACCTGTATCCCGCGACAGTGTCTGCGAGACAAGACAACCGCGGAGGGCAGACCATGAGGCCTTTCAATTTTCCAATCCCCATCTCTCTTCTGCTGTGTACAGCATAGCGGGGAGCGGCCAACAGTATTCATACGGGGAACGGCGGCGCGGCGCCTGTAGTAGCTGGCTGACCCCCTGGCCCACCGTCCCGAGTTCCCCCCCGGCCCCCCCCTGCATATACCAGCTAATGTAGTAACCACGGGCAGGTCCGCGGGCGTGCGCTGGGCCCTGCATGTCGTGGATGTGCCAGGGGATGTGCTGGATGTGCCAGGGCTGGATGGGCATGTGCCAGGGCATCCCGGCGTCCGGAGCTGCCGGAGGTGCCGGCTGCATGTGTATGTGGGGCCCCTGCATGTTCCCCTGTATGCCGGGCTGCATCTGCATGTGCTGCACCCGGGGCCCCCTGCATCCGCATGTGCTACATCTGCTGCACCCGCGGGACGCTCCGAGCTGTATTTCGACGGTCAAAAGTGTCGGCCTGTGGTGCGTGGACCTGGGGTGTACGACGCTCGACAGCGGGCGAGTAAGTCTGGACTGGTGGTGCACGATCGATAGCGGGCGAGTAAGTGTCGGCGTGGAGTGGTGCACGACGCTCGACAGGCGAGTAAGTGTCGGCTTGTGCACCTTCGACAGCGTGGACCTGTAGTACACGCTCGACGGCAGCGAGCGAGCAAGTCTCAACCGGTGGCGACTGGCAGTTGACGCACAGGACGCGGATTGATTCTTGTGCACGCTCGGCAGCGCGGACCGGTGCACCATCGACAGCGGGCGAGTAAGTGTCGGCGCGGAGTGGTGCACGACGCTCGGCAGCGAAAGTGTTGACCTGAGCACGACGCTCGACGGCAGCGTGGACCTGGGATGGACAACGCTCTTCGACAGCGAAAGTCTCGACCTGTGCAAGACCTTCGACGGCAGCGAGCGAGCAAGTCTCGACCGGTGGCTGTGGTGACTGGCAGTCGACACATAAGACACTTCGGGATAGTGCCTGGCAGTTGACGCACAGGACGCGGGCCGGGTCTTGTATACGACGTTCGACGGCAGCAAGCGAGCAAGTGTCGACCTGTGGTACACGAACTTCGACGGCGAAAGTCTCGACATGTGGTGCACGACGCTCAGCGAAAGTCTCGACCTGCGGTGCCTGGTCGACGCCCGTGTCTACGCCCGTCATGTCCACGTCCCGTGCGTCGCCCGTCATGTCCACCCCCTGCCAGCCCCCGCCCGTCATGTCCACCTCTTGCTGCCCGCCGTCTTGCTGCCACCCCCCGCCCGTGTCTACTACCTCTTGCTGCCTGTCCGCCCAGCGAACCGGCCGTTGGTAGCCGGCACCCCCCCCCCCGTCGCGACGGGCTCCCAGCGAACGCAGAGGGCATCTGCAGTCTCCTGGTGATATGGGGGATGTGGGGCACGGTCAGTCTCGGCCTGGTCGTGATGTGGAATGGCGCGATGTGCGGGATATGGACTGGCACGGTCAGTCTCCCTATGTCTGTTCTTTTGCTGGTCGCTTGCACTGCCACGCCCGTCCACGCCTCTGTCGACGCCTCTGTTGTCGCCCATGTCCGTTGCACCACGCCTGTTCTGCAAATCGTCATGTCTCTGCAAATCGCCACCCCCGTCCACCCGAGTCTCTCCGCCATGTCTCTGCAAATCGCCGCCCATGCCATGCCCTTCCACCCCAGAGTAACCCCCCACCCACAGCAGCCCGCGCGCCGCCGACAGCTTCGCGATGACGGCGTCGGGCGCCTCGACCGCGAGCCCGCCGCGCATCGCCATGAAGAGGCCGAGCGCGGTGAGGGGTGTGGGTGTGGTGAGTGTCGCGGGTGTCGCGGGTGTCGCGGATTGGCTTTGCAACGTTGGGCCTCGCACCGCGCATTTCCTTTGCACCCCAAAGTCGTCCCCCCCCGCCGACTTGTCCACCCCCCCCGCACACCCCAGCACCCCCACCCCCACCCCCAGCCACTGCTGCAGCGACACCCCCAGCAGCCCGCGCAACTCCGAGTACACCGCGCACAGAAACTCCCACTCTTGCCGCTTCGGCTCCGCCCGCCACAGTCGCGTCAGGATCTTCGACCGCTCCTTCTGCGGCAGCGCGAACGCCCGCGAGTGGAATGCTGCAGTTGTTAGTCAGGTACGACACCACGCTCAAGGCACACCCACCCCGGAATCCCATGAACCCGTTGACCTTTCTCTTGGCCTTTGGCCGCCGCATCATCCCTGACAGCACCGACAGTGTCGCTGAGCGCTCGCCGTCGTCGAGCCCCGCAAACGTGTGGATGATGGCCGCTGTGCCGTCTCCCGCAACAGTCTTGTCGCCCACCGCGCCGTCGTTCACAGAAGTGTGAATGGCGCCGCGCTCGCCGTCAAAAGTCTGAACACTGTTGCCCGCCATTGCGCCGCCCTCGCCGTCCCCCGCAAAAGCACCGCCGCCCCCCGCCATTGCGCCGCCCCCCGCAAAAGTCTTGAAAGGCTGAACACTGGCCATTGCGCTGCCGCTCGAGCTGAGGTGCTGTTCCACAAAGAGAAAGAGAGGAGATGGGGAATTAGAGAATGGGGCCCCTCTCATGGTTTTAGCAGGGGAGAGAACAAAGAAACGCGGGATGCTCTTTGGTTGCCTAGTTAATCCTAGCACAGCCCAGAGCAGGGCAAAACTTTTAGCAATAAGCAAGTGTCCCAAAACCAGATTCATTTCCTAAGCTATCAATTTGTGATCCCATCCCTCGACCCCTTTTTCGCGATTCCTGTGTTTTTAGCTCACTCAAGCTCTCTATACTCGCCTTCTTTCAGCGACCACGAGAGGGGTTTTCCGTGATGGGCGATTTCATATTGGACAACCTCGTGCATGCCCAAATGTTCTACCATCAGAGTATGTGGTCTCACCCGCAATACCGCACCGTCCATATCTGGATATTCCAGCACCGTGTTCATTGCTTCGAACTTAAGGTTTCCGAGATTGTCAACCATGTAGGCACGTTTCTATTGACTGTTAATATGGTTTATAATATAGGAAGGGAAAAAAAATACCTTTCCTGGGAAAGCCTGCACAGGGACATTGACGGATTTCATCACGCGGTGGTAGTGAGATTTAAAGCCCATAACTTTGTGCTTCAACTCTTTTGTGATACGGGCAATCTCGGTAGAATTATCATCCGGCGGCACGCCATGTTCTCGTATATAAGCCTATTATTAATATTAGCGAATGAACTTATTAGATATAATGAAATACTTACCGCTCTAATTAAAGATTTGGCCATCTTGTCGAATATTCTAATATCTGTCCTGAGACGCATAGTACCATAGTAGGGGACCCAGATCCGGAATGCTGGCTGATATTCTTCTCTGAAAAGTTCAGGCCTATTTGAGGACTGGGGTGAATCTCCTCCTTTGGGTTCGAGGAGTGAGTAGCGACTGAACTGATTGATCATGTCTCGGACCGATCCTTGCTGTAGATTCTTATGTTCGAGAATTGCGATGTATTTGTGCCATGGAGTTCCAGGGTTGCGTAGGATTGGGTCAAGTATAGGTGCCGAGCGCCAGTTTGCGGAACGCGTGGATCTTGGGTCGTTGGTGCTACGCATATTAGCTGATCTAAGCAGCAGCGTGTCTCCAGAGACCTTGATATGTCGACCATATTCAAGGCCCTCATCGGCACCGGGAAGAGAGGCAACATTCTTTAGAAGAATATAACCTTCCACCAAGCGCAGCGCAGTCTTTTGAGCGCCTCTGACATGGTCTTCCATAACGGGATCTCCTCCACCATAAAACCCAGTCTCGAATTTCATGAAGTCTAGAATACCGAGAATGGTATTGGAATACTCAATGAACTGGCAGATAATCTTGGAGAAAGTAGTGTCATTGCGTATAGAACGGTGGGGAGTGATTCGCTCGCACTTGATCAAGAATGCCTTTGCTATGATCTTGATTTCCTGAAAAGAGCGCTCAAAGTTGTGGATCTGTTCGGCGAACTGCTCGCGGATGAATTTGGCTTCGGATCGATACATTGCCTAGTAATTACCGCAAGGGTCAATAATTTCAAGACGCTACTGAGGTACTTTCAAGCAGAACACTGGTTTGTACGTACCATGCCGAATTTGAGATCATTGTCATTGTCATCTAACGCCCTCGCCATTTTGGCCGAGTCTGGTTCGGCCGTCATGATGAAGATCAAGAGTCCTAATCTCTAGGCCCAGGAGAGGGCGTGAATGCGAAAGAGAAGAAGACTAAGCGGTTTCTTCACCTAAATCGAATTTGAAAAGGAGAGCGAAGTTGAAGAGAAGAGGGAAAGAGGTGTGTGAATGCTTTTCGTGGTAAGGCCGGTCAGGTCACAAATAAATTACGGATTTTGTGGGTCTTAATGGGACAGGAATTCCCCACCCGGCCAGACTCTTCCTAGTCAATTCCGAATTTTGTATGCGAAGGTTTTTTTTGTGGGTCTCAATAGAGGCCAGGCAAATCAGACCATTCTGGTCAATTACGAATTTTGTGTGCGGAGTTTTTTTTTGTGGGTCTTAATAGGGACAAAGAATTCCCCACCCCGGCCCATCACCTTCTTTCTTCCACCTTTCTCCACACACATTCCAAAATTCTTTTCACTTCGCAAAAAATCATCAACACTCTGGCAGCTCGGAAGTGCACCAACCGGAGTTGGCAAAAGCATCCTACCCACCTCATTTGTTTCATTTCATCCTCCACCGTTCAACTCTTTCCACTCTGCAGAATTGATCTCTCGCGTCCACGTCAATTGCGACCAATTCACTATGGCAAGCACTATGGCCGTCTCGGGCGAAGAAGTCCCTCGGCCCCCCTCTGCTAGGGTGATTTGGAACGATTCGTGCCGCAAGCTTGGACGTCAGAACAAGTTCAAGATTCTCGACTTTTCCAAGGAGCAGTACAATAGTTTGAGCGAAGAGGTTCGCGCTGGGCTAACGCGTCGAATGGAGTAAGTTGGATCAATTACATTCCCTGCTTCTGCTGACTCGTGTTAGGATTTTTTCGCGTGACAAGGCAATCTGGGTTCGCGATGGCGGAAACGCGCAAAACTGGGTCTTGGGGCCGTTTAAGAAGATGATGGATCATCTCATCGAATATAACGAAGTCACCATCTTTGACCCGCACCGTCAATTCAACGTTACCACTCTCTACGAGAAGGTGCCACGCCCTCCTAACGCGTTTATCTTGTACCGTAAGGATCGTCACAAGGAGTTGAAGAATGCCAATCCGACGCTCAAAAATAATGAGATCTGTGAGTTGAAGGAGATAATTCGGATGGCCGATTTGCTAACTTTCTAGCTACCCTCGTTGGCACTATGTGGCGTCGTGAGGATGATGCAACGCGCGCCAAGTACCATCTGAAGGCACAAGAATGCAAGAACATGCTCTTGAAGTACTATCCTCAGTACAAATACAAGCCTCGCCGCCCGGATGAGATACTTCGTCGCAGATCGGACAAACACAAGACCCTTTACCATGGCAACATGTGCAACACTGAGGAGCTTCTCTTCCTCAATCTGATCAGCATTGAGATTGTCGACAGTAGCCTCGGTCCCAATGATGGCACGAGAATTGGCATCAGAAACGACATCTTGAATGGCCCCAACGTCTTGTGGTCCAATGGCCGAGGCGAAGAGGAGTGGGAAGAACCCAAAGGCAAGTTTGTGCCGGACTACGGTAACATTTATATGCCGAACTTGAGTGGTCTTGTTCTGCCCCACGCGGAGGGCGAGGTTTCCCTGGCAAACCCGCTGATCCCATACAACTGTCCGAACCCGACGCTCCCGAAGGTTATGGCGATCACGCCGGCTCCGACGATCCTCACGGTTAAGAAGGATGATCTCCCTGACTTCTAAGGTAGCTGCCCCCTGCTTCACTTCTCTTCCTGTCCAAGGCGGCTGGCTAACCAGACACTGGCAACCAGGACCAGCGAGAAGCGGCGGACGACGACTGGGCTCGGCTTTGGAGGGGATTTGCGTGGTTTTGAGGGCCTGTTCCGGCAGGCTTTGGAGGGGAATATTTGCGGTGGTTTTGGGCGTGTTCCGCAGGCGATATTGCGGCGGTCTGCGGTCATTTGACCGGGCTGCGTGTTATGCAGGCGGGTGCGTTTAAGTTCCCAGACAAGAGGAGGACATATTGCGGCTGTCTGCGGTGGGTCATTCAACCGGCACTGCAGTGTTCAGACAGGCGGGTCGCGTTTAATTTCCCGGACGAGGTGAACAGATATCGGCGTAGCGTCTGCGTGGGTCGCTTCATGAAAGCATTGGCCATGTAGATTAGCGCCGTAGGAATCAGAAAGGGTTGGTCCCAGGGTTGGTCCCAGGCGAGTGTTGAGTGTCGTGCGCGTCTTTTTTCTCGGCGCTGCTTGCTAGGGGGGCAGCAGCCTTTGATGTCCATCTCGGCGTGGTCCTGGGGGGGCAGCAGCCTTTTTCTCAATCTGTATCTCGACGTGCGTCATGGGCGTGCGTCCTGGGCGTGCGTCTGGGGGCGGCAGCGCGGCAGCAGCCTTTTTTTCAATCTCCATCTCGGCGTGTGTCCTGGGAGCAGCGCGGCAGCAGCAGCAGTCTTTCTTCCATTCAATTCGGCTCGCTGCTTGCTGGGAGCAGCAGCGCGGCAGCAGCAGCCTTTTTCTCAATCTGTATCTCGACGTGCGTCCTGGGGGCGGCAGCAGCCTTTCTGAATGTCCATCTCGGCGCGCGTCCTGAGAGCGGCGCGGCAGCAGCGGCCTTTTTCTGAAACCCTATCTCGGCGTGCGTCCTGGGAGCAGCGCGGTAGCAGCGGCCTTTTTCTGAAACCCCATCTCGGCGTGCGTCCTGGGAGCAGCAGCGCGGCAGCAGCAGTCTTTTCTGAATCTCTATCTTGACGTGCATCTTACTGGGCGCGCACGACGGGACGGAGAACCCGTTTGCCTGATCATCTACGATTGATTGCCTGCGTATTGTGCGTAGCAGTCTTTTCTACATTTTGGCGCGCTGCGTCCTGAGAGCGCGCGGCAGCAGTAGCAGCCTCTTAATCTCCATCTTGCGTGTGTCCTAGGAGCGCACGACGGGCGGACTGGACCCGTTTGCCTAACTAACGCGGCAGCAGCAGCCTTTTTCTGAATCTATCTCGGCGTGCGTCCCGGCAGCGCAACTGTTTGCCTGACTAGCGCGGCAGCAGCAGCCTTTATCTCAATATCCATTTCGGCGTGCGTCTTGGGAGCGCACGACGGGACGGCTGGACCCGTTCACTAGGAGCGCAGCGCGGCAGCAGCAGTTTTTTTTCCACATTCATCTCGGCGCGCGTCCTTGGAGCGCACGACGAGACGGAGGACCCGTTTGCCTGATCGTCTACGATTGATTGCCTGCGTATTGTGCGTGCAGTCTTGTTCTCATTTATCTCGGCGCTGTCACCGCACAGTCAACTAATTTGAGACAGGGCTGCAATATGGTCGCTGTATTTGTAGAATCTAAAGCTAAGGAAAGAAAAAGGAAAGAAAGTTCCAAAGGCTGCGCGGGGCGCAGAGAAATAGGTTGAGTTGGTGAGGTTATGCACTGACCACATCCTAAACCAGGATGTCTGGTCGGGGTGTGCCAGCTCTTACCACCTGTCTGGCACCTGTCGTGACAGGCGCGCTGCTTGCTGGGAGCGCGCGGCAGTACCAGCCTTTTTTCCACATTCATCTCGGCGCGCGTCCTAGGAGCGCACGGCGGGACGGACTCACCCGTTTGCCCGACTAGCGCGGCAGCAGCAGCAGCCTTTTTCCGAATCTATCTCGGCGTACATCGCGCACGGGACGGCTGGACCCGTTTGTTGAGAGCAGCAGCGCGGCAGCAGCAGCCTTTTCTCAATCTCTATCTCGACGTGCATCTTGCTAGGCGCGCACGACGGGACGGACGACCCGTTTACTGGAAGCAGCAGTAATGCCTGCGTGTTGTGCGCAGCAGTCCTTATTCTACATTGATCTTGGCGTGCTGCGTCCTGGGAGCGCGCGGCAGCAGCAGCCTTTTTTCAACATTCATCTCGGCGCGCGTCCTAGGAGCGCACGACGGGATGGAGGACCCGTTTGCCTGATTGTCTACGATTGATTGCCTGCGTGTGCGCAGCGTCTTCTTTACATTCATCTCGGCGCTGCTGGGAGCGCGCGGCAGCAGTAGTAGCCTTTAAATCTCCATCTCGCGTGCGTCCTGGGCGCCGACGAGACGGACGACCCGTTTGCTAGGAGCAGCAGTGTTGCCTGCGTGTTGTGCGCAGCGTCTTTTTACATTCATCTCGGCGTGCGTCCTGGGAGCGCGCGGCAGCAGTAGCAGCCTTTTAATCTCCATCTCACGTGCGTCCTGGGAGCGCACGACGGGCGGACTGGACATCTTGGAATTCTTGAAGTAGTAGAGTATAGCAGGGTGACTCCGTTTAGTGAATAATCAAAGACGAAAGAAAAAATATAAGGGGAAAATACCCCGACTACGTTGAAGGGAAAATAGTCAATACTCGGGCTAACGGCCGTTGGCTCTTGCCTACGGTGCTGGTAGCTATTGCCTACTATGCCAGCCCGGTAGCACATTTTTGTAAACAGTGGAAGAAAGAATATAGCAAAATAGTACTCCATCTTGGAATTGCCAAGACCTCAATGGAAACGCTTCGGCCCTGCACATGCTAGGGCTCATGTACTCAACCGGAGTGGGAAGCTCCGTCGAGCGAGACTAGGCCCGGGAACTTCTTTACTACATCTTTGCCACCAACTAGGGGCATACGAGGGCCGAGATGACGGTGGCATACCGGCACCATGCCGGAATCGAGACGCCTAAGAATTGCGCCACGGCCACAAAGTACTACAAGTGCGTCGCAGACCGGTATCGGTCGGGTCCCCCGGGCGGTATGGGCTGGATCGCGGAAGCCTACTGGATCGCTGACAAGTCCGGAGATGCCACTACTCTTTCCTCTGAATATTATCATCGACATTGAAGCCTAGGTACCTGGGATATTGCGCTCTCAAGACATACAACGTTCACTTGGCAGGTACTCATTTCCTCGCTTGCAAAACACTCACTATTCAACACTGAAGCTAACCCATTTTTTTCTTCTATAAACCTAGGTAAGCATGTGTTGGTCCATCCTCTAAGACAAAGATACTGCCAGAGACACTACCACGGCCACGGCTACTCGTCAATAAAAGGTGTAAGGACGAGAGAAATCCCCTTTCACTGCTAATCGCTCATTATATTGCAATTTGTTTGCGGACAACCACCATTTCGATGCTGGATAAAAAAGTCAAGGTCGGCAAGCCCAATCTCCCCTTCCGTCCCAATCACAAGATGATCGAAACAAATACTAAACGCCCACTCCATTCCATCCATCTATTCTATTCATTCCATCCATTCATTCTAGGTGCAGTGGAGAATGGTCAGCGACAGCAGCCATGTTCTCCCCAACCCAACAAATCGGAACACCAGCCCAGCTCAGGCCCTGATCTTCTCGCGAATACAATAGCGTATTCGCTGCTAAGAGGGTACCTGAAGACCCCTGTTGCGTAGCGCTTACGCTAAGATGTACTGCATGAAGCCCTGGTCAGTCTGACTATCCAGAAATGGAGTAGTTTGCCAAGCCAACAGAAACTCACCGCCTTTGTTGGGGCTCTGCTGGAAAATGTGCTCGTTGTCGCCGTGAATCGCTCTAGTCTTTCTACAATGCCGAGTCTTGAGTTTGGCCAGCCAAAACGACGAAAATGTCATCCCCGATCGATAGTACGAGTGTCTCAGAGCCGAGCTGGCTATCTGCTGAAGAATTCCTCGAAAATTTGCCAAGCCCGCCCCGCTCCTTTGCGAGCGAAGAAGATCTGACCGATTCGACCAATTATACTGATTCTGACGATTCTGACGATTCTGACGATGCTGACGAGCCCCCGCAAAGCCAGATATCGTTGGTTACGCCTATGCCGAATGCCAGGGACACACCCGTACCACGTACGCTTGCTTGTACAACTGCTAGTAGTCAGCGGTCGAGGATAGGGGAAGCAGGGCCGTTGACCTCATATACTGGCCGGAAACGCGCTCTTACCAGGACTGCGCTCCAAAACGCTGGAGGAAGAAAAGAAATACTACCGGTCTCCCTCCACCGCCTACACAACCAAGATCAGGATTGCGGTCGACTCGCAAACCAGCCGTTTATTGGAGTAAAGAGGAGGTCGCGCAATTGATGCTGTGGTTCTTGGACTCTGCTCGGGAGGGCTTCTTTTAGACCGAAAGAGCAAACATCAAAAGAGCTTGGGAATATAAATTAGCACAGGCGCAAGAAAAGTAGCCGGATAAAGGACTCACAACGAAGAGTATCTCTGCGAAATACTACCTAGAGAGGAAGAGGTGGCGTTGCTTGCTGGATCTGATAACTTCTAGTACCTCTTTTACAGAGGCTGGTCTGCCTGATGTATCGGATGCGGTATGGGAACGGTATTGGGCTCGCCACGGTAAAAAAGATAGCTAGATGGCCACCAAGTCTATTGGCGACCATGAGGTGTACACTAAAGTCTTCGTAAACGATGCTTTCTGAAGGAGACTCGATTATAGAACCTGCAGATTTTATTGGGCCCGCTCTATCGCACCATACAACCGTTGAACGCTGACATCTTGGGATTGAGCTCGACGGCTGGATCAAGCCAATCGTCCTCTAGAAGCCGCAAATACGCCCTATATAACAACACCAGCATTGGGATAATTGCCGTAAACGTTCTCGAGATTGATGTAAGAGAAGGCAGGTACGCCTGATCAAGGTAGTCACAATACGAGCAACAAGCAGGGCGAGCAATGACTGGTATTGGCGTAAGACTTCAACCTGGCCTGAGCTAAAGAGGTGTGCGAAGGCCATGGTCTATATACGCGTGAAAGGGGTTACGAGTCATCCTTGCGTGGCCAGGGTGGTAGTGGCGATAGTGCGTGGCCCTGGTAGCGGTGGCGATAGTGGCGATGGTGGCGAGGGTGGCCCTGGTGGCGGTGGCCATGGTGGCTACGAGGGTAGTTTCCATACAATTGAACTCTGCGTTATGCGGAACTTGTGGCAGGCGGTCCGTTGGTCACAGCCTTTGCCAAGGATATATAGCATAACCATTAGCTTTTGCTCAGCAGTCTGATGCCGAGTACTGCGGAGGCCCTCGTGAACTTCAAGCCAACGCACTATGGCTTTGAAAGTCGATTGGTCTATTCGAAATACGTCTTTGAACTGCTTCCTGGAGCTGTTTTGAAGGCCTGCGGCGAAGCGACGCGCTCCAAGAGGCCCTTCTAGATGAATAATTTCACAGACTGCAGGCCGTACTCTGGGTTGTTGCGCGTTGTCCTCGTTGTTTTCGATGGTCCCCAGAATGTTACAATCTGGACAACAGGTCCACGGAGCTAGGCCCGGCCTAGGATTGTGGGGGTCTGGACGGCAGGTAGGAGATGACAGGAGACAAGGAGTATCGTGCACAGATTGCGAAAGACAGGCTTTCAACACACAACCAATGTATGCTTAACCAGATGCATTGATAGCTGCAGAACCGTTCTCCAGAGAGAGCGTGCTGCCAGCTCCTATATAGAACTATGAGCAACCAATCAGAGTTCCTGCCTTACATGCTCAGTCGTGCTCAGTCCTAGACGCACTGATCCCCACTGAGCTCCCTGCTCAGTGCGCTCAGTGGGTCTCGGTACTGATCTTACTGAGCTCAGCCATGCTCAGTGCACCTTGGCAATGGCCCCACTGAGCACTCCCTAATTGGATGCACCTTCTCTTAGCGAGAGCCCCACCCTAAGTGCCGTTCCAGCCAATCCGCAGCGGGCGGGCAACGCCCTCTGCACCTTTGAACCAGGATTGTAACACCCTGCCCCGCCTTCAAGCCAGTACGAATAGGGATTCGTGACACTCTCCTCATCCGAGCTGTCGTCAGAAAATTGCGAGACGGCATATAGCCCGAGGCGAGAACGTAAGCTAGGGGGGGCACGCCTGCGTTGGGGAAGATGCAACTTCTAACGCCTAGGACCTAGTTGATCGCCGCGGTGCGTGATGCTGTGCTTTCTCATCAGGTAGGCAACGACGGCGGTGTAGAGCGCGAGATGCCCATGTGGCAGTAGACCAGCACGCGCGGCTCGATGGTTAGTCGAGCGCAACGGGCTGCAGGGTGGGATTGAATTCGACAAACATCTTCCAGTTCTGTGGCGTGTTCTACCAAAGACCGAATCGCCATTTCGCGGTATTGCTGCTCTGTAAAGATGGCCCTCCGTATGTTGTTTTTTTTGCGAAGATGAGAGGTCCAAGCTCATCGAAGCATCGGCTGTCGCTAAGCGCCAAGGCGGCTATGACCCTCCGGATCTTGTTTTTATTACCGAGATCTTTCTCTAGTTCTGCCGCGGATGGTACATTTTCCCAACTATTATCGTCTAGCAAATCGCCATTTCGCGGTATTACTACTAAGATGACCCTCCGTATATTGTTTTTATTAAGAAGATAGGAGGTCCAATCTCATTCAGCGTCGGTTGTCGTTGACCGCTAAGGCGGCTATGAACCTCCGGATCTTATTTTTATTACGAAAATCTGTCTCCAGTTGATGCAGGAATATATTACAAACCACTCGACTGTTAGGGTCGTCTGTCTGTAAGGGAGCACGGGCTCCACAGAATGCTGGGGTTGGTAATTATGAAGATAGAACAAAGGGCAAGCTCCTATCGCACGGGTAATACAGTCAAATCGGAATGCCACTCAAAGTGTATGAGTGCAGTGAATGTGTATTGCTTGCTTGAAGAACCAAGCAAGAACTATCTAAGACCGTGGCTACGGTCGTCGTATATATCTAACTGTGTAACCAATAACAATAGTCTCACTGGTCCGTGGTCCCGAGACTTGCGGTCTCGGGACGCCGGGCGCGCGGGACACTGTCTCGCGTCTCCGACCTTAAGTGGTCCCGAACTGTTACGATCCTGGTTCAGGCTCGCAGGAGGCTGCACGGAGCCTCCTGCTATTGGCTGGCGCAAGGAAGCGGGGTAGTTCCCCGCTCCACGGGAGTGCAGCCAATAGCGAGGCGGTCAGCGCGATCAGTATGATCAGGGCGATCAGTGGGAACTGATCGCACTGAGCACACTGACCGCACTGATCACCTAGGACCAACGCTCTGATTGGTCCGCCTTAGATAGATATATACGACGACCGTAGCCACGGTCTTAGATAGTTCTTACTTGGTTCTCCAAGCAAGCAATACACATTCGCTGCACTCATACATTTTGAGTGGCATTCCGATTTGACTGTATTACCCGTGCGATAGGAGCTTGCCCTTTGTTCTATCTTCATAATTACCAACCCCAGCACTCTGTGGAGCCCGTGCTCCCTTACAGACAGACGACCCTAACAGTCGAGTGGTTTGTAATACGAACCCCGGGACTGTTACGGCACGGCCGAACTATGGTCCGTGGTGCCGCAACTATGCAATGAGGCTGCAAGCCCCACTTGCAGCCCTATTCCTGATTGGGGCTAGTGCGGGGTCAGCTACATGGAGGGGTCTACAGTGGTGTCCGTGACACCTAACACCACAAAACTAACGCCTGCACACCTTGCAGGCTTTTTCTTTTTCCTTTTTCTTCTTGTGAGGACCCGTCCACCAAACTGGCCCTGAAGCAGCCAGAGCCGCCCAGAACCCACGGGCCTATCAGAAGCCTCCTCGAGGCCCCACCTACCCCACTGATAGATGCAAACTTATTCGCGAGCACGCGACGCGTTGTCGGACTTTTCCTTCTTTCCCTCCTCAGTTTAGAATCTTCGTCGATAGCACCCAATGGACTGAGTTCACCTCAATGCCTTGCCCTGGTCGTGACAGGTACCAGCTTCTTGTCCTTAATTACAGCTTCCAAACGATCAAAAAAATCCTGGAATCTCTCACGGGTAGATCCTTTGACTCGAGACCGTTCTAATAAGGTACCTAACTTGGCCTTTACCCTGGGGTTGCGGGTAAAAAACCGATCTACCCAGCGCTCACCAACTCGCCCAGGGAGCCCGGCTTCGTTCAGGATCGCTTGTGCGAATCGTCTTAGCTGTGCACGACTTGGGGCACGCCCTGCAGCTTCCTCCTCAAGAGCCCACTCGGCGACGAAGGCTTCCTGGCCGTCAGTTAACTTCTGGGTGTTTTTTTGGGCTTGTCGTGGATCCTGTTGTCCACGGCGTCGTCTGCTGAGGGTGGATTCAGGGATCCTATATAGGCGCGCTACTTCCTTCTGCTGAGCGCCCTGATCAATAGCCTCAATAGCCTCGGCTATTAGCCGCTCTCGTACGCGTCGAACCATCGTATTTTGAGCCTATTCCGACCAGTATTGAGGAAGTTGTTGGTGGTGGAAGGTAGAGGGTAGGAAGTTGGCGGTGTGGGGGAAAAATTGCAAAGTGGGGCGATTGCAAAGGTGGGTCACCCTGTCTATATTGGAGCTACACTAGTACGCAGCGAGTATTCTATTCCTTTTCTACGCAGCTGTTACTGCTTACGCGTGACGAGACTGACATTTGCGGCACTCTGCCTGCCAAAATCAGGGTGCCTATATGCCAACTTCTCCCGGGGCGGCAACTAGTTTGCAGCCTTCTACGCCTTCAATGTCGGCGCTAACGCTGGCAGAGCTTGGGGCAGCGGCACCTGGAAATGAGCGGCCTCCTGGAACATAGGCCATCTGCTCGTGAGGGATCTTGAAGACGGTGTGGACTCCAGGTGCTGTCAATATTACGGTCATCAGAATATCTGGGATTGTTCTCAATCTGTATACTTGCTCGCAACCTAGAACTTCCCAGACTTAACCTCTCAGAGGCCTTAACAAGCTCAGTTTCACCCAGCCATCAACCATGTGCACAGGCTCTATGATGTGCCGTCGAATTAGAGCAAGCCTAGGTATATTGCGTCCCCCAAAACGGGGTGCAACACCCCTTCATTACCTCTCAGCTCCGGCTATGTAGTTCCCGAGTCCCCCACTCCACTCTCGCGTTTGTTGACTTTTTCTTACACGTGGTGAGTTGTGGTTGGTAGTGACTTTGTCAGTCCCCTCTGTTTGTTAACTTGTTGTCCATGTTGTGTTGTGGTTGCTGGTGATGCCTCCATGTTTATCTATCCATCTCCCTCCCGCGTTGGTTGACTTGTTCTCGTCCGTGGCGATGCATTTCGTTAGGGGCTGGGGCTTTATCGATAAAAGGCGCGACGTCTCCCTTGTCACCGCACAGTCAACTAATTTGAGACAGGGCTGCAATATGGTCGCTGTATTCGTAGAATCTAAAGCTAAGGAAAGAAAAAGAAAAGAAAGTTCCAAAGGCTGCGCAGGGCGCAGAGAAATAGGTTGAGTTCGTGAGGTTATGCACTGACCACATCCTAAACCAGAATGTCTGGTCGGGGTGTGCCAGCTCTTACCACCTGTCTGGCACCTGCCGTGACACCCCTCCCCTTGAAGGCGACGACTGTAGCGACTTCTATCCTACATTATCTCGCCGCGTTTGTGCCGCGGCCGCTGCTTCTGATCGCCTTGACCCCGACTACAGCCTGCCTCGTCACACCGTTGCCGACTCCTCGGCCATGGCGCGGACGAGGGCGGCTGTGGCGGCCTTGGCGGCCCTTTAGATCCGACCGCATGGACGACATGGTGAGGCCCCTCAACCCCTATTCGCTCTTGGGTATAGGTGCGTCACCGTCGGCGCTTCTGTTTGTCGGTCCGCGTGGCGGCGCAGTGCCTCTGGAGCTCCGTCAACAAAAGGAGCGGTTTCCCCCCTCCCTCTCAAGGGCGACGGCTGCGGCGACTTGCTTCCTGCATCTATCTCGACGCCCACAACCACCACTTCCTGTCACTACGGCATTTTGACGAGGGTGACTGGGAGTCTTGCGATCTGGTGGGCTGAGTGTCACCTAATAATTGAGCCACATCCGAGCCATAACCGAGTTGAACCTTAAGAGGCCGTCTATGACGCTCACTTCCTAGTATCACGAGATTTCCTTTGTTTTACTTTTTGGGTATAAATAATGGCTTCTTTTCCTGCATTTCTAGACCTTTTTTAGACAGACAATTCCAGACCCTTCAACCCTCTGTCAACTTTGATCATGGGCCAGACTGAGCAATGTGTCACTCATGTCCCAGCTCCTGACAGCAAGGGTATCCCCACAGACTCGGAACTGCACAGGCCTCACTGACAGAAGCGCCATCCTTGCCTCATGAAAGGCTACGGAGGCGACCTGCACCGCTGGTGTACCTGGAAATATCATTTCGAAGGGGCGCGCGCGCGGGGCGCCGAGTCGAGGGCGAGATTGATGGAGTGGACGACGATGGGCTCGCCCTTTGAGCCGGGGGCATCAAGCAAGCCGACACCACGGACTTCTTCTAACCAAGGGCGCGTGTGGGCTTGGAAGAGAATGGAAAGGAACCGAGCGGGATACGGAGCAGTGGGCCGACGGTTCAAACGCCGATGGGCCTAGAATCTTGGGCCGCAATATGAGCACATATTATATCTAGTTCTGGCAGTTCCTGAATGTCTGTATGATTCGCAAAGACGTGCTATCGACTATATGGGGCCTGGCGCCCCCAGCTCGGCGCACCCAACTATTTGTTCCATACCAGTAGTAACTAAAACACGAAGTTTCGGTGGAATTGAGTGCTGCCGTGTCTACCTTTTCTGCATATAAGACTAAGGGGCATTCGCGAACTCGGATATATGTATGGATGCTGATAGACCCGCAGCGTGGCGTCGGACGATGGATGACTCTCGTACCGAGGAGCACGCCTCCGCCCGGGCGAGAACGGTGAAGATGACATGTTGCTGTCTGGACGTAGACGTCATGATGCGATGATCTGCGAGTGGCGGGCTGCGCTGGTGGTGATGGAACAAAAAGGCAGTGGAGGAAATTATGTTGCTAAAGGGACCGGGGGTAAGAGAAAGAGGAGGAGGAGGAGGAGGAGGAGGAGGTCGAAAACGGCAGCATCGACTTACCAGAGAGAAGGCGTCTTCAGCTGGCTAGTTGTTGGAATTTGTCAAGCAGAAGGGCCTCGAAGGTTCTAGATAGAGACTTCGCCACCAACTTCGCCACCACAATAGTAGTATAAGAACGGGCTTTCTGGCACTGCCAGAAAGCTAGAGAGAAGAACAGACATCTACAATCCATCACTTGAACCACCAGTTTTCGGCGTGTAGCTACGCCCTGTTGAGTCCAGTACCGGTACCCTGGTGAATCCAACACTAGTAGACCAGAATAATCAAGATACCGGGCGAAGAGACCGTCCGAACTTTGTATACCAGTCCTCACAAACGGTCTCACGCCAGTCGGCACCGTATTCGCTCTCCCAGATGACCGCAATCTCTCTCGCCACCTCGTCGCTTACATCGCTCCATCCCACCTCGTTGATCTCGTCTTGGTGTCTCGCGAGCGTTGTGATGTCGAAGCGGTGCCCTGCCCATACGCCCCTCGAGACATCAACCGTAGCGCTCATATTAGTATATGAGGATGTCGACCAGCGGATGCGCGACATGACGACTTCACCAAAGCCCAAGACGCTGATATTGGGGCCGTGAATGAATTCTGGCTTCAGGACGATGGCTTCCGAGCGGACGAGCTGCTTCGTCGTCAAGTTTCGAAGAATCCACTGCTGGTCCTGGGGGAAGTAGGTTGCCTCTTCGACGCGCATCTCCAGGCATGTGCAATTGAAAGCGGGATCCTTGGAGATGCCCAAGAGGGAGAAGTGGCCAAGCAAAGCTAGCGACTTGTTGAACAGACAAACGTCTTCTACCATGGTGGAAATGCTTAGGAAAGTGAAGTGGTAAAGCGTGAAGGGCACTTTCAAATATGCCTCATCATCCCAGTCAGAGTCCCAGTCATCCGGTATGCCGCCCTCCCTTTGACCCAATACGTCTAGCTCTTGGGCCGAGAACAGGCCGGGAGGGTAGTCGCCCGGCTTGACGTCTTCTCCCACGCAGACAATATTCTCATTGGCCAACTCTCCAAGGAACGACATATAATAGTCGTGCATGCGTTCTCGACCCATGGACCAGAAGTACCGATTCGCGAGACCGAGGCAAATCACGTCGTCGATGCGTTGGATACAAGCAAAGATGAGTCGACACACTTCGGGAGGAAGCGTAGAAAAGGAGACGGGGCGATCGATGACGAAGTGGCCGTCGGTGCTGGAGTGTTCGGTGACGGAGTGGGTGGCGATGGAGGAGTGGTTGGCGATGGAGGAGTGATTGGCGATGGAGGAGTGGTTGGCGATGGAGGAGTGATTGGCGATGGAGGAGTGGTTGGCGATGGAGGAGTGATTGGCGATGGAGGAGTGGTTGGCGATGGAGGATTGGTTGGCGATGGAGGAGTGGTCGGCGCCAAAGTGGTCGGTGCTGGAGCGGTCGGTGACGGAGTGGGTGGCGATGGAAGAGTGGTCGGCGCTGGAGTGGTCTGCGCTGGAGTGGTTGGTGATGGGGTGGTCGGTGTCAGCCCTGCTATCGCCGTCTTTGGTTTTTGCTTGCTTGTGGCGTGAGAAGCCGGTAATCAGCTCGCTGTCCACTTTGCGCTTCGAGCGCTTCTTCGACCCACCCATGTCCTTAGCCGCGCCGTGGGAGGCCATTTGGGCAGCAGTAGCAGTAAGGCGACTATTTTGGGCCTGTGCCAGCGTAGAGGAAGCTGTCTCCGGGGGATTCTGCGGCCGGACAGGGACGGCGAGGAGGCGCACGAGCCCTCTGGCTGACCCATTAAAAAGCATCTCACCAAGATTGGCTCTATCAGCCGACATTTTCTTGGCTCGAGGGGCCACAAGTTGAAAGGTTTGCACCATCGGAAAAGCGTACCTCCTCATGCAAGCTGGGATGACGAATGTAGGAGACGACGGCTTCACTAGCACGGGAAGAAATATAGAGCGTGAGTTGACAGACCAAGGCTGAGTTCACGTTATCTCAGTAAACTCAGACGTCTTTTTCCAGGCAGGGGGGGAGTGGCTTCGCCACCATTCCGGGCAGGTGTGGATTGAATGGCCCGCCGTGTGGGCCGGATGAGCGGCTGGACAAAAATCTAATTTATGTGTAAATCTGTCCCGCAAGCCCAATTGAGTATTTTAGATCCCAGGACCCACATATTTGCCCAGAACGCCTGGAAAAGACGTCTGAGAGCAAAATTGGGATTATGGGCTACTGAGTTACGCGCCCCCATACAAATCAGGATTTTCTAAAAACTTGAAATGCGAATAGCTTCAACACCACATTCACTACTGTAAAGCCGAGATATGTCTGAAGATGCTAGAGATTGGAGAATATTTTTGAAGTTAATTTGAATGCATTTGCAGTTGAACTGCGGATTTTGGCACGACTAGACCTTCAAAAGTTACCGAGTTACGCTTTTCATCCGACTCCATGACCCTCATCCAAAAAAGAAGCCAAAATATTTATAGCTGTAAAAATTTAATGCCGAAGATCCTCTTCTTCCTGACAACCTCAGTGTGTAATTTTTGACCCTTCAATCAATCCGTTACCCTCACACTAGCCTCGAACGCTTCAAATGGCATCTCCAGGCGATCTGGAGCTCATCAAAGCGACGATATGCTCCATTACTGGCCACGAAAAGGCTCCATTACTGGCCACGGAAATGCCCGCGTAGGTCAGGTTAAGCGGTGGCTCGATTGGTCTTTGAACGAAGGAACCTGTTGTAAGGACTTCAGCTCCCTACGAATCTTGTTGGTATTGTGAGCCGTATCATCGTCGGCGTCAGTCTCTCGAATAACAAGGTCCCTCTAAACGAGGGCATCTTGCAACTCTGGCCGCAACAGAGCGCGCTTGAACAGGCTGGCACGGCGTGCGTTACTAACCCAGGCAACGAGAAAAGACTTGAGGTTGTGGAAGGCTTTCCCTTCCTGACGTCGAATTCGAGCATTCATGCGCCTCTAGAGCTTGAGTGTTTCGGAAATCATGTCCCCAGAGGCATCCTCCTGTTGATCGGCTCCTTGCTCAGCGTCCTTATGTTGCTGTGCCTCGGGCTCGAGGGAGGACCCGTGACAGGCTAGAAGAATGCACATGACTTCGCAGCGTCTCTGAAAGGTTCCTTCCACTGTGAGGGAGAGGCGTCGGGCTTGTAAGAAGGTTAGAAAGTCCTGACGAAGAAGTCCTGACGAAGAAGCTCGAATAGGTAGGGAAGAAATTCGTGATGAACCGGCGCGTGTGCGCCACGTATAAGCGTGGCGGTTGGAAGCTGCGGGCCTCGTCGCCGTCGGAATCCTCCATTTTCTATCCATGAAATTAGTTCCAATCGAAAGCGCCGCTTTCTAGCGATCAGAATGATGCATACGACGTGTGTTTGCGCGTTGATTTGGCGATATTATTGCATGCACGCAATTGACCGAATTGCACCGTAACTCGAAGAGGCAAAAATCCAGAATTGCTCTCAGACTAGTGTTGGCCCTGATCCAGCTGTTCGAATATAAAAAATTCTATTCGTTGAATTTTATTTAAAAAGCGGGTCTTTGATTCTATTCCTAATTGGTATGCCACTCCCCCCTCTCCTCGCCAACACGGTCTGAGTTACTGAGATAAGGTTTACGGGCTCAAAAGATGTTTTTGTAGCTGGTCGCAGGCCCTACTTTTCATAACCCCCTAATTTAGACTGACAAAGTGGGCCTCGGCTAGCGTGATACGTAATAGGGCCGCTAAAACTTTATAGTTGTTAAACTCAGGTTCGATAAACTCAAAATATACACCAAAACGCGTCGATACACGGACGTTCTCGGGAACCGCTTCAGCAGCATCGCCGACCGGTGCGTCAGGTAGAGGAGCTGGCACGTGTCCGAGCACTCGCTAGTGAGCTTCCACTCCTTAAAGCGATCTTGGTGGCCGCCCTCGTCCCAGTCCGGCGCGAAGTCGAGCCGTACGACGCTGAATGATGCCTTGTCGCCGGCAATTCGGACCTGGACGTCTCCTCTGGCTGTCGAGTCTAGACGTTTCCCCTGGCTGTCGAGTCTAGACGTCTCCCCTAGCTGTCGAGCCTAGATAGTCGTCGATTCGCGGCACCCGGGCACCCAGCTGCCGCCGCCATATCTGCAGCCAAACATCTCGCACGGTACTAGATAACGCCAATAAGAAGCCAAAGCTGCCGTCCGAACTTGCCGTGGCAGCTATGGTTAGATGTGCGTCCCGGTAGACCTCGGCCATCTTGGCTGCTTCGCGGAGATAGTCGTCCTCGTCGTCTTGGATGATGCAGAGCGAGTCGATGCACAAGTATCGGGTATGCAGCCGCCGCGTGACCCTGACAGCGTCTTGAAACGTCCGAGTTAGCTCCTCAAATCGGACACCCCGCCTTATCTCGTCAACTTTTCCCTTCACGGTCGTTATCAGCCGCAGCTTGCCCCAAAACTGACCCGAAAGGCTCGCCCGAGGAGCGTACAGGTGAAGAGTAACGGAGCCGTGCTCACGCACCAGGTAGAGCAGATTATCTACCTCCCAAGGGCTGAATATGACCAGCTGCTCCACGTACTGGCCGGCGGATGGGTCAATGGATTTGGTTACGATCCACTGCACTGGCCGCTGGTACTTGTCGGATACGAAGCCCACTCCTCCCTCTACTGTCCGGACAAACTCGGCAGTCACGAGCAGATGGCCTGGAAACTGCTCGAGCTCGACAAGAGACGCGATGCTGGTGTTTCGGAAAGCAGCCTCAAATGCTGGTCTGAAAGCATCGGAGCCCGCTCTTATCTCACCCGTGCGCACAAACAACCCCACGTCCCGGTGGATGACCGGTCGGTGTGCTTTCATGGCGTGTAGTACCTCTACAACCCTTTGCTTCTCCTCTTCCTCCTCTTGCTCAGTTGACATTTCTCTTTCCTGCCCCTCCCGGAGAGGGAGTGCGCTCCTAGTCCCGGTCATTCCTATCTCTGCGCACCGCCGTCTGATGAGCTTGGCCTCGGGGGTTGCAGTAGGTGGCCCTCCGAGTTGGGGAATGGTATCGAGCGTGTGCTGGTGGTGTGGCCGCGCGCCGGGTGATAGCGCTCCTGCAGAGATCGGGCCTCATCTTCGAGATACATCACGGCAACGTTGGGCCGTATGTTGATAAACGGCTGGCCAGCGGGCATGTCACTCTTTGCTCGCCGCAAAGCCTCCTGCTGGCGATAGTGTCGCGCTCCCTGCTCGACCCACAGTTGGCCCAATCTCTCTATTCGCACAAATATCTCCCACATCGACCAGGTTATTAGGTGCAATTTTGTGATGGCAGCGTTGCTCTAAAAGCCGGGGGTGCCCTAGACAGGGCGACCCACTTATGCAATCGCCCCCCTTTGCAATCGCCCACCACCATCACGGCCCACCACAAGAATCGTCAAAATACTCAATTATAGGCCAAATTCTATAGAAAAAAGTACATTCTAGTCCTCGTCAATCGCCCTATATTGCTCAAGCCCACGGGCGATAATTTCTTCAGCTTCCTGGACCAGGTGTGCAGGCCTGGACTTGGTCTTCTTGGATCTCTTCTTGGGAGGCTTTTGACTAGCTTTTTGAGCTTCGTCAATTTCGTCAATAGTAGCAAATCTGTCGTTGGCGTCTATTTTGACCCTTTTACGTGAATAGGGCTTTTTGGATTCTAACTCGTTAGCTAAGAAGTCGTTTTTTGCCTTCAAAGCAGCGATTTCCGTATTCTTCTGATCGAGTGCCCTCCCTACCTTCGTCAACATAGTCCTGACGACCCTATCTCGGGGACTAGTGGCCGTCTTGGCTAAGCCCTGTTGCCTGCGGACGTCGTGACTACCTTGAGGTGTATTGAAGAGGTCGTTCCGGGTTGCCCGGGTCTTCCGGGGTGGTGTGGATGGGGGGACTGGTTTTGCAGCTTCGTCCCGGACCGCCTCGGGGTCGTCAAGTATACGAGCGGGTTGGAAAGGCCAGATTCCGGTCTTCCGGAAGCCGGATATAATATTCCGGGCTGACATACCCTGCTCTGGGGCGTCCCGGTAGCAAAAAAGGAAGCGTTGCTTGTTGATAGGTGCTGAGGCTGTGAAGGAAGCCAATTCGAGGGTTCTTTGGCGAAAATAGGACTTCAAAGCCGAAAAGACAGACTGGTCGAGTGGCTGGGTCTTGTGAGAAGTGTGTGAAGGCAAGAATAGTAGGTGTACGCGGTTTCTTTTAGCTAGAAGCATAAAGTCTTCGTCGATATGAGTGGCGTGTTCGTCGAGGACCAATAGGCGCCAATCGTCCTTCCTTTGGGGCTTTGTTTGAGGAAGATATACTTCCTTGAGCCACATAAGAGCTATTTTGCTATTGCTCCAGCCTGTGGGCGTACAGTCGTATTTCCAGGTCTTGAGGACTGGTAGTTCCTTGAAGTTATCCGGGAAGTGTTGGCCTTGTAGATTTTCACCCGTAAAGATCACTACGGGCGTCAATCGCTTGCCCTCAGCGGTACCACACTCGATAACACTGACCTAGGTCGTTGGATCAGGGCTAGTTAGGACTGCCCGAGACGTGAGGGCATCGCCAATCACCTTCCCAACCGTAGTTTCCGTCTCTTGCATGCCATGTTCGTCCATATTAGCGATATTCGCAGGTACCAGCTTCTTGTCCTTGATTACAGCTTCCAAACGATCAAAAAAATCATGGAATCGCTCACGGGTAGATCCTTTGACTCGAGACCGTTCTAATAGGGTACCTAACTTGGTCTTTACCCGTGGGTTACGGGTAAAAAACCGATCTACCCAGCGCTCACCAACTCGCCCAGGGGGCCCGGCTTCGTTCAGGATTGCTTGTGCGAATCGTCTTAGCCGTGCACGACATGGGGCACGCCCTGCAGCTTCCTCCTCAAGAGCCCACTCAGCGACGAAGGCTTCCTGGTCGTCAGTTAACTTCTGGGTGTTTTTTTGGGCTTGTCGTGGATCCTGTTGTCCACGGCGTCGTCTGCTGAGGGTGGATTCAGGGATCCTACATAGGCGCGCTACTTCCTTCTGCTGAGCGCCCTGATCAATAGCCTCAATAGCCTCGGCTATTAGCCGCTCTCGTACGCGTCGAACCATCGTATTTTGAGCCTATTCCGACCAGTATTGAGGAAGTTGTTGGTGGTGGAAGGTAGAGGGTAGGAAGTTGGCGGTGTGGGGGAAAAATTGCAAAGTGGGGCAATTGCAAAGGTGGGTCACCCTGTCTAGATAGCCTTTTTGACTTCGTCTAGGATGAAGAAGCAGAGAGACTGCCCGTTTCCCAATTTCCTCATGCGCATACATGCTGTAATTCATATTCCAGAGTCTCTGATAAGCGTGTATGACGAAAGAAGAAGGAAAAAAAAAAAAAAAAAAAGAGAGAAGAGCATCTGGGGGGAGGATGTGGATGCGGTTCTCGTCACGAAGCACGCAATCCAGTACCGAAGCGTTGGTGTGCCGTTGCTCTTCCAGGTCCCAGAATTGGATGGGGCGTGAGAGAAGAGAATTGGCGTCCTTTATTCCGCTGAACCCCTTGAGGGATCGCCTCCTGTCCCCTGAGGGACGCCTCCTGTCCCCTGAGGGACGCCTCCTGTCCCCTGAGGGGTCGCCTCCTGTCCCCCGTAAGGTTCCAGCCCGATGCTGACAGCTTCTTGGCGAATTCCTTAATCTCACAGGGGAAGAGAATGTTGGATAGGTAGTAGTCGACCACGTCCTTTTTGAACCGCACGAGGCCTAAGATGTCCTCACAGGACCCTAGGTCCTGGATCTAGATTCACGGCCTGGAGTGTGATGGCAAGATTCCCCTCTCTGCCTGCCTGCACCACCCATCTTTCGTACACCATCCAACCTTGGTCCTCAGCTAGCACATGTTTGAATACGCTGTAAGAGAAGGTAGGTACGCCTGATCAAGGTGGTCACAATGCAGGCAAGAAGATAGGGGAGCAATGACTTGTATTGGTGTAAGACTTCAACCTGGCCCTCGCAAAGGAAGATGGGCGAGGGCCATTGTTTATATACCTGCTCAGGGGTTCGGCCCGGGCATCAGTCTGCGGTCGTGGCGCCACGGCGTAGCGTATGCCAGCTGGCAGTGTTCTAGCCAGTTGGTGACAAGTGGTGGGCGCGCACCCTGTGCGCGCAGTTGGTGTTTGGGGTGTCCTTTTCCTTACATACGCCTTCGAGTGCTGAGTTGCTGACTCCCTCACAGCAGTAGCTTATGCACGACAGGACGATGACGACGTCAGGGTGCGCGTACTCGGCGCGTGGCGCTGGTGAGTCCTTGGCGTAATACGGCTCGGCGAGCCCGGTGAGAGGGTTCCGGTTATAAAACAGGCCGAAATTGACTCTCCATCGCTTGCCGAGACAGAATTTCAGGACACCACCAGCAATAATCCCTCGCAGCAGAAGTAGCGGTCGCTGGTCATGCTCCTCTGGGAACCGTTCCTGCTCCTCTGGGGACCGTTCCTGCATGGCGGAGATGTCTTGGGCCATGGGTCGCTGCTGTGTCACGAATCTCACCAAGGCCTCTTGGTGCTCTGCCGAGAGCAGTGGGATCGAGGCAAAGCCCTCATGCTTGCCCCCTAGGCATATCCTCCGAGCTACGGCATTGAGCGCCGTGGAAACGCTCGTAGGATCCAACGTTCTGAACCTCGGCAAGATGCCATGGAAGCTAGCTAGCATCGCGCTCGCCTCCGCAGTCTCGTTGTCCGAGTTCCTAGGTGGCGGCTCTGGCAGCTCCCAGCACAGCCTGAATCAGCTCCCAGCGCTGGCGGCTGAACTCAATATCCGTCGGCGGTCCCATGGAGTGGCTGAGCTCGAAAGCAGCGTCGAACACGTCGTCACTCTCGTCGACAATATCTCATCGTATATATCTAACTGTGTAACCAATGAGAGAACTGCTCTGTTGCTCTCATCGCAGAGCAACAGAGCACATTGCTCTGTGCTCCACCTTACAGAGCAACTGTGGGGCACGTCTGCTCTCTCCCAGGTCTTGGCAACTAACCGCACAGAGCACTACCTGATTCGCCGCATCCTTCCTGCCGAGGGCCCTGCCCTGAATGCCGCTCCAGCCAATCTGCAGCAGGCGGGACAACGCCCTCTGCGCCTTTGAACCGGGATCGTAACATTCGTTAGTTATATTATACATTACTATAGTATTACACACCACTCGACTGTTAGGGTCGTCTGTCTGTAAGGGAGCACGGGCTCCACAGGATGCTGGGGTTGGTAATTATGAAGATAGAACAAAGGGCAAGCTCCTATCGCACGGGTAATACAGTCAAATCGGAATGCCACTCAAAGTATATGAGTGCAGTGAATGTGTATTGCTTGCTTGAAGAACCAAGCAAGAACTATCTAAGACCGTGGTCACGGTCGCCGTATATATCTATCTACGTAACCAATAACAGTGATTCCGTTATCCCGTGGTCCCGCGTCCGGGTCACCGCTCGACCGGAACTGTCCCGCGTCCCCGAGCTCCAGAGCTAGGAACCCTGGAACGCTCCTGATTGGCCCGCGCCAAAAAGAGCATGCCCCACCTTTGTGCATACCCACAGGGAATCCATAGGGATTCGTGACATATAGCTTGCTTATCCCTTACGTTAGTGTCAACCGCGGCGTTCTTATGGGTCTATATTATTTTATTTTAAATCCGAACCATGACCGGAATATTACAAACCACTCGACTGTTAGTGTGGTCTGTCTGTAAGGGAGCACGGGCTCCGCAGGATGCTGGGGTTGGTAATTATGAAGATAGAACAAAGGGCAACGGTGTCACGGTCGCTACTGGAATGGGAACTATTGTTATCCTCAATCTTGGGGCTTCGTATTACGCGTATACCCCGAGCGAAATCAGCAGCAACTCGGTCGTTGCTCTGCTCGATAATATCTAGCTGTTGTGTAACTAGGTGTTCGAATTATCCGATAACGAGGTTGTGGACAGCGCCGGCCATGCGTAGGACGAACTTGGAGAACTGGGGGAAGTAGTCGAATCTAATCAGAGGTTAGCCAATGCAATGTTGGACAAGGGGCAGCTGGACAAGGGGCAGCTGGACAAGGGGCAGCTGGACAAGGGGCAGCTGGACAAGGGCAGCTGGACAAAGAGTGACAGAGGGATAGAGGGAAAAAGGGACAGAGGGAGAGAAGGACAGGCTACCTACTTTGGCCAGCTAGAGTACCCTTCGGCTCCAAAACGCGCCTTGAAAGCCTTGAACATATCGGGGCTGAGGCTTATGCACCACCACTCGTCGTCGACCTTGTCGGCCACAGAAGCGGTTGCAAATTTTAGCCATGATCATATCGACACCAGAGGCGAGCTGGGCGGCGGTTGCTTGCTTGCTATCCATTTGGACGGATGGACGGCTGACAGGGCAACTTGAAGGAATAGAGGTAAAGAGAGCTCGTCTGCTTATTGACGACGAAAGGATGGCTGACAGGGCGACTTGAAGGAGTAGAGGTAGAGAGAGCTCGTTTGCTTGTTGCTGACAGGGCGACTTTAAGGAGTAGAGGTAGAGAGAGCTCGTTTGCTTGTTGACGACAGATGGAAGAAGAAAGGAAAGGGTGTTGTAGAGCCATTGCTTCGCTTGCGTTAAAATAGGTCCTGGAAGGAATGGAGCGATTAGTGTTTTGGGGTGCCGAGGTTAGCGGGTCTAAATTGACTACGTTATTTTTGTTCAAAAAAGAGTTTTTATTGTTGTTCAAAAAGGGAGAGTTTTGGTGGTGATCCACTACCAGGGTGATCCGTTGACGGATGGGATTTTCTCGGCCCGCCCTCTGACTGCCCAAGTAAAAAGTAAACCTATCCTTTTGGGTATAGAATTTACCAATTTCATCATGCTTTAGGGGAACCTCCTAATGGCCTACGCGTTTAGCCCTGAAGCTTGTCACGGCACGGCTGAACTATGGTCCTGCAGGACTCGCAGGCTTCTTCTTTTCCTTTTCCTTTCTTTGGCTTATTCTTTACTTGCAGCCTTGCCTCTTGTATTTGCCTGCCTTCACATCGCTGTTTGGGACGCCGTTTTTGGCACGTTGGACCCGCTAATCTCGGCACCCTCCACAAGTACGCAGACTGGCTAGTGCAAACCCCACCATTTCCAGCAAACTGGTTCCTCCAACAAGCCCAGCCCCACGTGGTCCCAGCCCCACGTTGTCCCAGCCCCACGCTTCACCATGGCGTCAATCGCTTCATCGGCAGTTCCGTCCGTGTCTACCCTGCCTACTTGGGTAAGGTTGACGAAAGATAGCCATCTCCCGGCCGTACGATTCACCACGACGCAACATCTCTTCGACGCAATTGGCGACGTAATTGCTCACACGAATAGAGATTCCCTCACCGTCACAAGTATGGTATTGCTCTTTTGTTTCTACATAGCATACTAATTGATTAGACGTCTCTCTCATAAATTTCACCAAAATCGATCGTGCTCGAGAGAAGCAGGGCCGCAAGTTCCGCTTTCGCGATTACGACAGCAATTCTGGATCCTTATTATCACAGCCTCAACCGGCCTTCATGAGCAACTCCACAATCCACTATATTACGAGCTTATCGGGCAGGTTCGCGATATGGAGTAAAAAGGAGTTAGAAAAGTATTGGCAGTGCTACACGTTCGGCACAACAAGGCCATTCTGGACGAAGTAGTAAAGAGGGTAATGCGACTAGTGGCCCAGAGCCTCAACGAGCTGCTAAAGGTGCCTGGCCAACAGTTGTTATCGAGGCAGGATTCTCTCAGCCGTTGGGGGAATTGCATATAGCTATGCAGCTGTGGGTTTTTACGTCGAACCACGAGGTTAAGATTGTTCTTCTTGCCAAGTTTAACGGTACCACAATCCTTTTGGAAAAGTGGGAGGAAGAGGTGCAAGTTCGCCCTGGAGCTACCACAACACGACAGTCTCTTCAACACCCAGCACCTGTGCTCCGACAAAGCATCACTATTACCCGAAACACTACTACCAACCCGACATCGTATAATGTCACTAGCGGCGCATTGGTACTGCCATTCCGGCTTCTCTTCCTTAGAGATGCGGGCCCTGGGGAGGGAGACTTCGTTTTCAGCGTTGAAGAACTGGAGTGGTACGCGGAAATTTTCTGGGCTTACGTGTAGATTAGTAGAAGTATAGATTAGCAGAAGTGTAGATTAGCAGCCAATCCAATTCAGCGTAGCCAACCAGTCGAAAACGGCAGCCCCGACAGTGACACGGGAATTCTAAGAGATATGAGAGATTTCGGGTTAATCCCACGTCATCATCCATCATCCTTTTGGATATAGGATTCGCGTGCCGCGCCTCGACGGGCCGCCAGCTCGCCGCGCACGGCCACCGTCTGCCTGCGGGCAACCACGAGCTGCATGCACAAGCGCCGCCTCGAGCCGCTGCCCGAGCAGAGGACCCACCCGCCGCCGCAGAGCAATGTGTAGATGGGCCACGGCCTGGTAATCATCTCGCTCTGGCCCGCCTTTTGCGCCGCTACGTTACTTGGCCGTCACGCTCTTTGGCCGTCACGCTCTTGAGGAAGTCGTGAGTGCAGCCTACCGACAAACTCTAACACGCTGCCGCCCGTCGTTGCAATCGCCTCCATCCCCAACAAGCAAAGCGAGCCTTACCCGTTGCAATACACCTGCTCCTTCCATCGCCAACAGGCAAAGCGAGCCTCACTCGTTGCAATCGCCCTGGGTGCACCACAGTCTATCATCATCGAACCTATCCACCAACATGGCCGACAAGCGAACAATCACCCAGCCCGACCAGCTGACTCTCTACCCTACACCGTCTGTGGGCTTGCCCGTCTCGCGCATCGATAACATTATAGCCGAAATTCGCAATCGCATCTCTAGCCGAGTCAAGGTCCAAAAGGACTGGTGGTGCATCGACCTCAGCCGCGGCGAGTTCGAGGCTTTTGAAGCGCGCTTCAAAGCCGAAGCGGATTACCGCTGGCCAAAGTAGGTAGCCTGTCCCTCTGTCCCTCTTTACCCAGTTGTCCCTTGTTCAGCGTTGCGGTGGCGGTGGCTAACCTATGATTAGGTACGACTACTTCCCTCAGCCTGGCAAGTTCGTCCTACGCATGGCGGGCCCTGTCCACAACCTCGTTGTCGCAGGATTCCAAAACCTAGTTAAAAGACAACTATTCATAATGGAACGGAGTAACGACCGAGTCACTGCCGATTTCGCTCGGGGCACACGCGCAAGAAGAAGCCCCAAGATTGAGGGTGAGGGTGATGGTAATTCCCATTACCCAGACGAGTCGTTTGCACACGACGATGCAGGGGTAGCATGTGTTCTCTTGGAGGTCTCCGAGTCCAAAAAAAAACAAAATGCTTTACCATACCTTGCAGATGAGTACATCCTAGGCTCACGTGGGCGGGTCCAAGTCGTTATCGGGATTGACCTTGAATACCGGAAGGAGAAGGGAAAAGAAGCCAGGGTCACTGTGTGGCGACCAAGATTTACTTTTGAGGAAGATGGGGGGGAAGTCGCACTTGAAGCAGCTAAGACGGAAACAGGTATCTTTCGGGCAGCGGATGGTAGTGTGGTCGATGGGGAACGGATCCTTCGTATCGGGCTCAAAGATTTTGGCTACTGGCCCAATTGCCTCAGAATCGACGACATCCCCGGGGAGATTACTATTTCGTTTTCTCAACTTCACAAAATGGTGCAGCAGGCTGAGCAGCGCATGGATCGTACGCGCGGGCAGATGCAGCGTGAGAAGTGTTTGAAGCGGCGAATGGCTCAGTCACCACCGCAGTAACTCAAGATAGAGCTTGTAGAACCAATAAGACGTCGGTAATACTTGGATGCGCGGATCCTGGGTTCTTGGTAGTCACTTGCACCCACCGGCATTTGGGCACTCTGCACCACCCGTATTTGGGCACCCACCCCGCATTTCTTCCTGCGCGCAGGCCAGTTTCCGTCACACTGCACCCACTCGCATTTGGGCACTCTGCACCTACCCCGCACCGGCATTTCTTCCCTACCCTGCACTACCCGTATCAGGTCAAAATAATCGTCGTTCAACACTTGATCGGCCCGCCCTTTGACTGCCCAAGTAAGGGTATCATCTTTTCCCAGGAATCCCGGCTTAGGAACTTGCTAAGGATTGAACTGCCGAGCCATCGTTTTGCCTCACAACGTTTCTGGAAAACTGGCCCCACAAGTAATGGCAATCCAATAGAAAGGGTCTGTTGGCGCCAGAAAACCCCAGAATTTGATTGGACCTATTTGGGTCTAGAAAAGCCGGCAACGTGCGTAAACACGTGGTATTCGACTGTTGAATGCAGCACCAAAATGCCACATGGGCAGTTGACTACCTTGACTACCCCCCCTGCTTGTTGACAATACGATGCCCTACAACGCCCTCGAAAGTGCGTCACGAAGGAGGCTGCAACGCATGAGACGCCTGCGGCCATGTGCATTGCTTGTCCTCGCCCTCGCTAGGAAGACCAAAAATACCAACCACTCCTTCGTGACAACAGCGGGCATACCGTCTCCCTTATATTATCATTATCGCCAGGGTAATAACCGAAGGTGACGAAAGGGGCATTCGTAGTACAAAATACACCAAGATTGGCCTCTAGCCGCATCTCTAAGACACAAGCGTGATGCCCCCCGCGCATAAGGGAGGGGGTTCGGCGCGGTTTAACAGTATGCCGGCGATAGCTTTCCTTTTTCTGCCTTTGGGGAAAAAGATCAAAGTATTACAAACCACTCGACGGGCCTGATCCATGTATTCGGGCCTGGGCCTGGGCTGAGCCCCACTTTTTGGTTCGGGCTTCCTTATCGCGATAAGGATGCCCCACTTACGTGCAGCCCCGGCCAGTACAAGAGAGATTCGTGACACAAAGTCGCTCGGAAAGTCGGTCTGGAGAGGAACGGCCGAATCCCCAACATCAGGGCAGAATCAGCCGGTCTGAAGGGTCCGTGCTGTTTTCCAGAAAACTAATTCTGGGGCTGCCCTGATTCTGCGAAATCCTTTTAGGTATGGAATCTACCAATTTCATCATGCTTTGGGGTAATTGGCCTGCGCGTCTGACAGGGTAATGTGGTTGGTCCGTGTGGTGCAGTGGGGTATGTGCTTGTGAGGATGCGCGGCTTCAAGGTAGCTGGCTGCGAGGTGGTATAAAGTGTATAGACAGACTCCTTGACGGTCGACTCCACTATTCCGCTCTGGACAAACCCAACTCGCCGGCTCCCCTTGCCCCCCTCCTCGCCCCCCTCCTCGCCCCACAGAGGGAAAGCGGCGACGAGAAGGTTTTTCCATTTGCGACAAAAAGCCAAACCGGCCAGCCATCCCAGAAGCCCAAGTTGGTTGTTCTAGCCGCGTCCCGTCGTGGCAATGTTCTAACTTTTAAGTAGTGAGATTCTCCCGTTCGGTCTACTTGACTACACTATGAAATAGGAATTTTTCAATACGTAAAGGAGCCGCTAGCACACAGCTAACACAGGCCTTGTTGAGCTTCATGTGTGATTTTAGTTGCCATGCGAGCCATGATACACCAGGGCAGCTACTGTGTATTTTTAACCGTAAATCCACGGTTTAGAAGTTCAGTTTGTATCAAAAATCCAAAGCTTTGAGAACAGGCCAATGCTATTTATGCAAACCTCACCCAAAAAAAAACAACGCCAGTCCGCCTCCACCTCCTCTCGCCAAAGAGGAGGCCAAAAATGAAAACGCGGCAGGACAGAACGGAAGCTCATTAATTGACAAGAAAAGAGGGGAAAAAAACAATTATGTAAAGTCGGCGCGTCCTTCCCAGCCAGCCAGCCAACTGTCCATGTTCCGAGCCAAAGCTTCCGCGCTCTCTCTCTAGCAGGAGCAGAGATGATGTTTGCTGCAATTTCCAGCCGAGCCCCGCGATAGATTCTTTCTCTTCCTTGGCTTTAAATCTATATTAGTTACTGCCTTCATCTAACTGCACTAGGAAAGCGATGACCCGGCGTTGGTCCTAACGCCATCTATGAAACGAGTTGTGGTGAAGAAGAGTGGCCCAAAACTCATTTGAAAGCTTGCCGAGAAAAAAACTCGAGCCGTGAATCCGGCCCCATCCCCCAGCCGCAGGCACTGTCAATATCAACAAGGCAGGCCTTGATGGGCAGTCCAAGGACTCGTAAGTGGCTGTGGAACAGATGATCACGGTCTCGGCCTGCTCGGCATCGCGCCGCTGTAAGGACTTGAGGCAATCCCGGACATTGTCTTCTACCGCCCCCACGGCGGCGGCGGCGGCTACGACAGGGATCTAATCTTTTGCCTACTTCAATGCAGTATCAGTTCAAAAAGTTTTGAGGCTTGACGTCGCTCTTGACCTTGGTTGAAACTTATCCGACATTCTCAATTGTGGATTCGTCATGGACAATTTCACTGTGAGTTTAATTCATTTTCTCTTTGTTCCGCGCCAGAAAGTCTCAAATGAGTATGATATATCCTCGGTCTCCGAGGCCGCCGAGGAACGTCAGCATCATGATTACCAGAAGCATTGCAGGAGCTGGGCTAAATGGGGGATTGGATATTCATTGTCGTGCATTGTAAATACTGCGCGCGGGCCATGTTGAACATTGGCCGAGTCTAGGCGTTTCGGATTTTTGTATTTTTTACTAGTCTTGTCCGTCGACGGCAGGCCAAAGTCGGAGGCGGATTTTGTAGGCGAAGCTTCCCCCGCTGCCGCGCCCACCGGTCGTGAGCGTCTAGCCGCATCTTCTCGGCAATGAGCATTCCCTTAGCCAGGTCTTTAAGGCACAACTCGTACTACATCAGCGAATAAGTGACCTATTACGCTATATCTATTTTCCCCCCTAACCAATAGAGAAAATCACGGGTAGGAAGAGAACACCTAGTTAGCTGTTTTTTTTTTGAAGTCCTGAATTACTAGCGTTGCTGAGCATACGAAGGCCTCAGTACCGCGTCTCCGCCGAGCTCGCAATGGCAATATATAAGTTTCCGTCTTCGTTAGTCTAAATCCGTGGTTACATTTTGCCTATGTACCTACCTACCTTTGGCTTCCATCAAAACGGCAGGCACAAGCTCAAGGGATAGCCGATTACAATGCCGGCATTAACTCGAGAAAGGGCGACACATCGACATTCCCCGTCCCTGGCACTCACGGCCTCGCGACTGGAGCCATCAACCTTCGAGGAACCAATATTCTATGACATTGTCCCCTCAGAGCCGCGTCCATCAAGGGTCCGTTCCGCTCCGCCTCATCAAGCTCATATACCTAGCATATCGGGCGTCACAGGAATTCGCCCAGCGTAGCAAATTTACCGCAGTGACTCGGCCAGCTATGAAGGCGATAGGAGGAGGGAGCTAGTATACCCGACAGGCTATATGTACCATAGAATTTACTACGGCTCAGCGCCTACAGGTCTTGAAGGGAGACGGCTACTTTCGTCTATTCGTATAAAATGCAACCCTTCATAGGAATAATAGGAACACTATTGTTAGTAATAAGACTCCACCCGTCTTATTATGAAGTCCCTAGCCGACTCGCAGTCTGTAGTGGATCCAGGAGTAGAAGGCAGTTTTCAGAGAATAATAGGAATGCTTTTTTCGCCTAAGCCCCGTGGTTTGTGGCCTGGTATGAATTACCCTTCCGTGTCTCTCTTCCTTCTTTCTTTCCCTCTTCCCTCTTCAACTAGCCAGCTAGTCAATCAGTCTAAGATTTCATACAAAAAAGCACACTCTAATCTCTAGTCTTTTTTCGCCACTGGCAACCTCACCAACTACAACATCATCACGCGTCAACACAGTAAGTAATCCCATCCCGCGGGTACATACCATCCACCAAGCAACACCATCTCACCACATAACACCCCAGTCAATCAGTCCAAGCTTTCACCTAAGGCGTAGTACCATCTCAAGCCTTCTTCGACTTGCAACCTAACCAACACATCATCACGCGTCGGCATAGGAAGTAATCCCATCCCGCGAGTACATACTATCCACCAAGCAACCATCTCACCACATAACACCCCAGTCAATCAGTCCAAGCCTTCACCCAAGGCACAGTACCATCTCAAGATCATCTCGCGTCCGCACAGTAAGTAATCCCATCCCGCAGGTATATACTATCCACCAAGCAATACCATCTCACCACATAACACCATATAGCCACCACACCCGCCAAAATAGACGTCGATGTCACTTCCTTCATGTACGCACACATTTACCCCGTCTTGCGTCTCAACCGAGACCTGGCGCTATGGGGCGTGTTTGTCGCTGTCACAGACATGGAGGATGTGGAGCGAATGGGACGCATCTACCATAAGCAGCCAGAGGCGGCCGGCCACCGCATGTCGGTCTTGGCCCTGCCCGACGTCGACGGCTCGGCCCGGGTGGCGCTCTTCTGTCGGTGCCTGCTGAATCTGATCCTGGCCCTGGACGTCCTTGTTCTCCGCGCCGATGGCGTGGACATTATCTTTGCCGACGTTGAGTCGGCTTTATTCGCCCTGCGCCGCCGCCGCCCCGCCTTTTTGGTCGTCTACTGGGCCCCCGTCCCCGTTGCCTCCATGTTCTTTGCTTGAGCGGCCTATGTTCTTTCCTGTGCGGAAAGTAACAAGCGCCCAAGAGGTTTATGATGCTGACTTGGTAGCTAATTGTGGCTTGTGCTAACGTATTTTGCGGCTAGCAGCTGGGGTCAACGCGTAGGATAGAGGGAGGGCGTTTTTTAGGGGAGGGGGGGCGTCTTTGAGGGGAAGGAGGGCGTCTTTAGGGGAGGGAGGGCGTCTTTTAGGGGAGGGAGGGCGTCTTTTAGGGGAGGGAGGGCGTCTTTTAGGGGAGGGAGGGTAGGCTTTTTTTATTATTTGGGCCGCGGGCCCGTAATGAATGTAAGGAAAAGGACACCCCAAACACCAACTGCGCGCACAGGGTGCGCGCCCACCACTTGTCACCAACTGGCTAGAACACTGCCAGCTGGCATACGCTACGCCGTGGCGCCACGACCGCAGACTGATGCCCGGGCCGAACCCCTGAGCAGGTATATAAACAATGGCCCTCGCCCATCTTCCTTTGCGAGGGCCAGGTTGAAGTCTTACACCAATACAAGTCATTGCTCCCCTACCTTCTTGCCTGCATTGTGACCACCTTGATCAGGCGTACCTACCTTCTCTTACATGAACTTGTTTGCGCTGCATCTTTCCCTTGTTGTGGTGACCATTCTATGTTGTTTGCTCTGAAGCATTATATGTGGATTCTTGCACGTGATCGAAGTTGACCGCGCATTGAATTGTCTGGCCAAATAGGTCTAAAAGTACAGAAAAGACGGCTTCTTTATACTCGTCGAGAGAGGGCAAGGGAAGTGTTGTAATCAGCCCGAAATGAGGGCATTTGAGGCCAAGAATGAAGGAAAAATAAAGAATGAAGGAAGCACAGAGGCATGCTAACCAGGGCCTAGAAAATTTGGTTCAATTCCGTGAAAAGTGGGTCAATTCCAGGCGACAGATATAAACGTGGAAATCCCTCTATGAGTAGACAAAATAAAACACCTCTCGCTTCCAGGCGACCAGCAGCCTCCTGCCAACCTCTTTTTTAGGCCGCATTGATGGGGGACGAGTCGGCCCTATATTACGGCTTAACTCTGCTACGAGTCGAGAATGTTAAATGTTTAAGGGGTCCGCCGCCTCCGCAGCCTCTAACGAGGTCCCCACCGCAAGCATAGCGCCAGCACTCTTTGCGGCTGCTGTCGGATGGAGCCGCATCTAAGCCACATATGGGCGCAGGTGGCGCACATGCTAGACCGTTTACAGCCTAGACTGTGTCAGCCGAATGCCGCATAACTATGGTATTAAGGTTATGCCCACCTTTCTGAACCTTCCGAATATAAGCACTTTTTGGCCCTCAATTGATGCAGCGTTATATGTAACAGCTGCCTGGGGGGTATGTTGCCAATCTTTCCCAGCGCTCTTTGAAATAAGCTAATGGGATGGGTCGGCCCCGCCCGACCTGTCACGACCAGGGCAAAGCATTGAGGTGAACTCAGTCCATTGGGTGCTATCGACGAAGATTCTAAACTGAGGAAGGAAAGAAGGAAAAGTCTAGCAACGCGTCGCGTGCTCGCGAATAAGTTTTCACCTATCAGTGGGGTAGGTGGGGCCTCGAGGCGGCTTCTGATAGGCCCGGGGTTCTGGGCGGCTCTGGCTGCTTGAGGGCCAGTTTGGTGGACGGGTCCTCACACGACCGACCGCTCGGCCTTGGCCCAAGGTTTTTATATTGACCTTGTCTCGCTGGTACGACTTGTACTGTAGACAGGGAGGTAATTTATAGATGACAACGGACACACGGAACTACCTTTCACGCTCAGCCCGCCTTGTTGGCAATGAACTGCAGAATCTCCTCCTCCTTCTGGGCAATGACCTCCATGCGGTCGTCCTGCAGCTTCTTGACCTTCTCGCGCAGCTTGTGGTGGTCGTCGCTGACTAGCCGGAACCTAATAGCCTTACAGGACTCTAATCCTTCTTAGGTTTTTATAATTTCTATTACCGATTCGTCCAAATTTATAATAGTATCGTTAAACTACCAACTATACTAGTAAAGAAAAGGGAGGTAGCTTGAAGCGGAACAATTGGGTGCCTCTGTCTTGGATGCGCATCATCTCGGGGCAAACTCGGCGCCGCCAAGCGTGTCCCTTTTGTCGGTTAATGTTGAATTGTTTCCTTGCAATTAATCAGGGCAGCTTTTCGACTCTGGCAACCACTGAGATGTGTCCCCGAGGGACACGGTTGCTAAAGCTTGGAAAGTGCCAACATCAAAATGGGAATAAATAATTCTTGCGGCGGCGGTTTCGATAATCAATTAATACGATTATTAGTTTCTTTTCCATTGTTTTTTTCTGCTCGGGGTTTGTGTATTGGAGCCGCAGCAGCAGCTACTGCTACCACTACCGCCGCCACCGCGACACAGGGCTTGGGCTAGGCACCTGCGAACATTGTGTTGCTGTTGGAATGTGTCAAGCAGAAGGGCCTCGAAGGTTCTAGATAGATAGAGACTTCACCACCTACTTCGCCACCACAATAGTAGTATAAGAAGGGGCTTTCTGGTACTGCCAGAAAGCTAGAGAGAAGAACACACACATCTACAATCCACCACTTGAACCACTAGCTTCCGGCGTACAGTTACACCCTATTGATTCCAGTACCGGTACCCTGGTGAATCCAACAGTTGCATACATGGATGGCTACAGGAAAGACGGAAAAAGCAGTGCCGGGGCCCTCCTGGGTACCTTGTAATGTAATGTACGATGATGCATGACTAGGAGTGGAGCACTGAGCAACCTGCATGTTGCCAAGGTCCCGCCACGCCGGGCCCGTCACCCAGGCCTCGCTGACTCGCCAAAGTTCCAAAATGAGCCCAACAGTCCACATCAACCAGCCCATGCCCCTCCGATACGGCGAGGGTCTTTTGCGTGCCTTTTGGCGGCTCCAGGAGCAGTTCCTTGTGTAAAACGGTGGCCGGCATCTGTCGGCGCACGGGGGCTGTCGCGGGCTTGCAAGGACGCGCATTCGGCCGTCGCCCGGCTCGTCGCTAACTACGAAATCGAGCTCGTCGATGCGCCGGCGCCGGCGCCAGTGGTCGTGGCGGTCGACGGCCGTGTGCCGCGAGCATGTCGAGGTGGTGCTGACGCCGCGGGCCAACTAACAAACGAAAATCAATAAGAAAAAAAAAGAATTGGTGCGATAGCTTGTATGCGGCCGGAAACTCGACTCTGAGCTTGTATCATGGGGAATTTGCAGGGGACAAGACAAGAAGCCTGGGGTGCGCTCGAGCTGGAAGCTGGATAGACGAGAGAAAAAAAAAAAAAGCGCACCGCACGCTGCAGCGTCGCGTCGACGTAGCTGATGGTCAGCTCCTCGCCGGCGGCAATGTCCTGCACCGCCATGGTTGTGTGCGCGAGGTTGGTGATGCGGTCGTGCGTGCTGCAGTGCCAGCCGTCAGCCCACCCTCGCTTAGCGTCGCTTCGTCGCTGCTGGTAATAGCGGCCAGACACTCGTCGACGACGGACTCGGTCGTTGCGTTGGTCCAACACTCGACAGGGGCTTCCATCAATTATCCAAATGGACACCATACAAGATGCCAAGAAGCCGCTGGTACATTGTGAATTCTCGCAGGAGCCCTATCGAGATGGGGAAAGCAAACCGCTCGCTCCCTGGGCCAAGCCGGAAGTAGCAACGTCTTTTTGACAGACGGCGGCGCTGCGTTCTGAGCTGACGGAGCTGGAACTCGATTTTCTGAGCTTTTTGTCTGATAAGCTCTAAACATGTTGGGTCAAAGCTCTCTCTTCCACATTTGCAGACACGTCGCTAAACATTACGCGGAGAGAGGACAAGAACTCGGCGAACTCGGGCGGGCAAAGTAACAGCCTCGTCGATAAGCGCACCGAGCAGCTCCTGCATGGTGAACTCGACATCCTTTGCGATGTGCTCGCCGGAAGTCGACTCGGTGCCGACGCCATCAAAGATTTGGGAGTAGCCGACGGCCCCCACGGATGATGCTGCCGCCGTCTTTCGCCCAGCCTTGGCCCCTGAAAGGAAATAGAAAAAGATCAACTGCGGATGCTAGGATACGGTAGTAGATACGGTGGTGGGCTTGAACGGCTCTGTGAATGTCGTTTTCTGCTGCGGCGTTTTTTCCACGGCGTTGTTTCCACGGCGTTTTCTTTGTCATCTTCACACAGCATGGAAGGTCTGGCTACCATGCCGGACGGTTTAGAGCTATTATCTTCATCTTTCCCCACGGGGCAAAGAAAGATCCGAGCATTCGCTTTTCTGTATGCCATGTTCGTCCACGCAGGGATAGGATACCACAGCGTTGCGAACAAAAAAGTCAAGCTGGCTTGGTCCGACCTGAGCGGCGGCAACGTGCTGCTCGAGCGCTACGGCATGACCGAGGTGGGCATGGCGCTGAGCTGCGGGCTGGAGGTGGCGGACCGCCGTCATTTCCCTCTTGCGGGTTCTTGTCTGTGAGAATGTAATTTCTATCTACGAGGTAGACTGTGCACCCAGCCACGCCTGCGCGACTGGGAAGCGCTGTGCGAGACTCTGAGCCGCGGAAGGCGGAGCCGACGGCGCGGCCCTCCTCGACGACGACGGTGTGTACGTCGGCCATCATTTTGCCGGCCTCATTATAGCCTCTCGTGCGCCGCCTCGAGGTCCCTTTGCAGACTCTCTTCTCGCTCCCGTGAACCTTTCGCGGCTGCCTGCTCGCCGACTATTTCGGCCTCGCGGCGTGCTTCCTCGGCCTGCGTCTGCCAGGATACAGGTCCATGTCGCGGCGTTCCTCACAGTGTGGTCATTGACAGCCGTCGGTCTAACCTTGTCGTTCAGAGCAAGCTGCATGAGCTGGAAGATGCCCTCAATCAGCTTGTCTGGCAAACAGTTCGTCCCGAAGACAGCCCGTCTTTCCGCCAGTAACGAGGAGCCGCCCAATAGTTCCGTCCTCCTGGCGCTCACACTCGTGTGTTCCACCTCCGGTCCAAGTCTTGTCGAGGCTTAAGCCGGCCTTCTCATCCGTCCGCAGGCCCCGTGTAATGCCCTGCATCCATCCCAGTGCCCGGAGTTCGGCCAGACTCTTGGAGGCCATTATGTCGGCAAGCGCGTGCGGGAGGAAAGGCAAAAGCGGCGTCGACGTCGAGGGCGAGGGCGAGAGGAAGCGGGGCGCGGCGGGGCGAGTCGACCGGGAAATGGGCTGCTCCATTCTGCCAAGAAGAAGTACATTGGGGTACAGCCGCACTCCCACCATGCTTGGCCTGATGAAATAGATCAAGACGTTAAATGATCCGGTGAGCCTCTCCCGCTCCTCTTTTTTGCGCCCCGTGCCCCGTGCCCCGTGCCCCGTGTCGAGGGAGTGGAAGGCCAGGAACTAGCAGTGCCAATGAGGCGTTTCGTTTCACACCTACCCTCGGGTCCGCAGGGCAGGCTAGACTCTCCCTGCCCGGCTTGCGGTCAGGTCAAACAGACTACGCTAGTCTCTAGCCTTCCCATCGCCCTCACTCTCTCACCCTTCCTCCCACGCCCTAGAACTTCCTCGGCTGGGCCACTGAGCCACTTGGCCACTGGGGGCACAAGAGCCCGTCAGCTAGCCCCTACCCGCCGCAGCTTTCCCCCGACCTGGACTCACACATAGATGTTTGGAGCTGCGCTTGGGCAGAGTGTGCAGTCGCTTGGGCAGAGTGTGCAGTTGCGCCCTGTCTGGAAGCCAGACTTTTGATCTGGTCACGTTTATCATAGAGTTGTTTAATAAGCTGTGGCAGAAGATATTTAGTACATGGTTAAGGAGTTTTTCAGTTGAGCAAGTTGCCAAAGATGCATGCCATCTCCCGATTGACTCGGGTTGAGCCCCGACCTCTTGGCAGTAGTTCTGCAATTTTTCTAGGAGATGGGATTCTCTCGACGGGTTCCAGTGCCGCCCCCTTGTTAGCATTGACACTGCCATGTTGGCGGGCAGGCCGTCAGAGAGGCCTCAGCGCCGTGCGGCGGCCCCAAACGGGTGCGAGACAATCTCTATTTTCCCAAAATATGCCACTCGAAAAGGGTGCGACAGACTCATTCTTTTCGAGGTTTTTTTCTTAATGAGGTTTTTCCTTGCCAGATAGATAGGAGTAATTAATCTATGTTAGAAAAGACATTAGCGCTATTTATCATATTGTGGCCTGGGTCGATGTCTGGAGGTTATCGCCCAAGGGTCTCTGACTAGATCACGCTCCCCACCCAAGACGCCCCCTATAGACGCTCCACCAATTAGTCGGCCGCCTCCCAAAGCCGCGACAGAAGTTCTGGATCGTTCACCCCCCCAGAAACGCTAGTTGCAGCGAGATGGACAGAGGGCAGCAGCGAATCTCACACTCCCAACCTCGGCCGCTTGGTTTACTAGAAGATATCGAATGGGCGCCATTATCGGCGTTGCCAGCTGCCGGGCGCTTGGTCGAAGCGGCTGCTACGAAAAGTGGAGCCGGGGGGGGGCTTCAGTCACTGAGGGGGTTATAGGGTCCGTTTGCCGGGCAGGTTTACAATGGGGGCGACGAGAGAAGGGGCCTACGGGCCCTTTCTGGATTCGCTTAGCTATGGTTGCAGTACCTGGGGGGAGGCCAAGGGCCGCGCCCACCCCCTCCCAGCGATGCTTTACCATACTCCCTTGAGGAAACTAAGGGGACGCCTAGAGTTTCCGGGGAGAGTGGGGCAGCGCGCTGCGGGCGGCGTGCTGCCTTGTCCCCTCTCTTTTGCTCCTCGAATTATTTTCATTTTTTTTGGCGTGGTTATCGACGATTTCCGAGTCGTCGTCGTGTCCCCGTCGAAGTCGCGATCCCATCGCTGCGGGGCTTGGTCATGGGATGGCGGGGAAGCAAAAACGCACGTGGTTAAGCGAGCAATATCTCGCCCGTCAGCCACGTACGCACATAAGGAGAGGAGGCCTAGGGTTCGAGTTCAAGTCACGACGTCTTTTTAAGGGAGATAAAAAGCATTTTAGACACCTTGTCAATGACTGAGGACGGTCTCTACGCACCCGAGCCTTGATATCTTTTTGAGGCTGATACAGCAAACATTGCCAGGACGCTCAAAACGAACGTGGAAATTGTCCTGGCCAGAAGAGACAAGAACCCCCGCTGTTGCATGCACACTTTACTCAACATAACCACATGGCAAGCAACGCAGTTGTAAGCAAAGGCAGGTACGCCTGATTAGGGAGGTCACAATGAAGGTACTGAAGAGAGCGAGCAATGACTGGTTTTGGTAAGAGACTGCAACCTGGCCCTCGCAAGGAAGAGGACGAGGGCCACTGCTTATATACATGACAGAGTGCGGGGCCCAGCGGGTGAGAGATTAAGTTAGGTGGGGGGGTAAGCGAACACTACTGATTTAGAACATTCTGTATAAGCAGGAGTCCCAACTAACCCTCCAACAAAAGAAAGGGTGATCTTTTTATTTACAAAACTTCAATACAATCTTTGATATCCTCTGAATCATCCGCTTCTTCCGCATCTTCTAAAACCTCTGCTGCACGCCCTACAGCTCTCTGGGCCTCACAAATAGTCTGAATATTCGCAAAGGTGGTATTTGGATCTTCTTTAACCTTCTTCTTCTTTCTGGCTCTTATTGATTCGAGAGTGTGTTCTAGACCTTCAATCTTTCGCTTCCTAATAGCCAGTTCAAAGGCCTGTTCATCAAAAGCCTTACCAATCTTTCTGAGGAAGAGCTTATCCGCTGGCATTGCTTTGATGATGCGTGCGAACTTCTTTGCCTGCTCAACGTAATCACGTGCCTTTCTAGGAGTCCTCCACTGCACCCGATCGTCTCCATAATCCTCCAGGATTGGCATACGGAGTGTGCGAACCTCTGGGGTAACTATAGTAGTTCTTAAGGGGCGTGAAGTATTAGAATTCTTGA